GGCCACTAAAAAGAAAAGATGACATTTAACTAAGGAAACCACAGGATGCATTCATTAATAAACAAAGAATAGCACAGGTAATATTTTTTACATTCTAAAATATGATACCCTTTTGTGTTTTCCAACACTACAAAATAAATAAGCAGACACAGCAAACCATTCAAAACATGCAAGAGAAATAAAGTAAATCTTTAGAAAGAGATAAGAGAACCTCAGCATATTTCCGTATTAGCCTTATAACCTTACTGCAGGTGCTTCACAGGCCCTGCTGAGTTTCTTTTAGAGTACTCTTCCTGTACTTGTTGCTCGGTCTCTTCTGGTAAGCTGAATGATTACGACTCCAGTATTGTTAGAATGTTTGACTCCCTAAGAGAATTTCATGAGGATTCTATCCTGATTCCAGATACGTCATCAGTCTAAGACTCCCTTTCCTGGGCCTTGGTTTGTTGAGGGAACCCTGAGACGTGGTACTCATGTCAGTGATTAGGCAGGGTCCTTTTCATGCTCTATAAATACTGTCTAGTACCCAGGGCACTCTGGAATACAGATTTGACAAGTTCATTTAATAACTTAACCTCTTGGGCCATGTAATTTTTCGTATATAAATGGTTCTATAAAGTATACATCTTCAAGCGTTTTTCATGAAAACAACTTCAAGTGTTTTCATGTTTCCAAAGTCCTGGAAAAGGGTGCACTATGTCTTTCTGTCTACAGCCTAGGTACTATATTAGATTTTCATTATCAAAATAACACCTTTGTAATTTTTTTAAAGTAAAAGCATACAGACAAGTAAAAAATAGAAAATATGACTTAATGTCTTTAAAGCCACCTTTCTTGGCACCAAGAGAATTTCTATTATAGACTACTGGAAATCGGTAACTACCTTTCAGAGACCCACTCTACTGCGTCTACCTTCTCCATGTACCAAGGCAGACATCTGCTAGACATACTGCTTTCAGATTCCATACGTCATCTACGTTCCTTTACCATGTGCACACAGTGAAATCTATGCAGCTTTAGAAGGAGGGAAACTAAAACGAAAATCATAATAGACTTAAAAGGCAACTAACCTTTTTCCACCTCATTCAGATTAGCAGCTGGCAGCGACAAAGACAGAAGAGACAAGAGACTTTTACATTGCAATACAACAACAGAGCACATCAAGCCAATGCACAGCATTAACAACGGAGAAGCCAGGTGAGAGAGCAAACCGAGGCGTCGATTCTTACCTACAGCTGGGCCAAACGCACACACATGGAGAGAATGAAGCCAAAGGTAAACCATCCCAGGGAACTAGAGATCTGCTTCTAATGTGGGGGGACGTGTAGCAACCAGCAGCTTTACTGTTTATGATGTACACAAACGGCTGGTGAATGGGCATTAGAGACTTAGCAGAGGGATAATGGTACAAAATGGGAAAATTAAAGTGTTCTGATTACTTTTCTTAAAGTGTACTTGAAGGCTTAATATGCCAATTTATTTGAAAACTCTTTATTTTGCTGAATTTATACAATCCCATTAAGTAATATGAAAGCCTCCAATGTGATCATGCTCGAATGTGGTGCCAGGAGAACACAGCTAATACCTACTCAGTCTTGAGACAGAACACCTTGGGTTCAACTCAACACCTGACATTTTAAGCTATCCATGCCTTTAACACTGCGTGGGACTCACATTCTAATTTTCATCTTTTTATAGGTTTGGGGCTTGTGCAAAATTTAAGGCATTCATTGAAAATGTACCGCTAACAAAAGTCTTGGTTTAGAAAGGATATAATAGTGGACCTCCACTCTTTGAAGCTTTTAAAATGAAAAGCCTAGAATTACATCTAAAATTACATGTTTAAGAATTTTTAAATCTCCTTTTCCTGATACTTAGCATAATTCTTTTAATTTAGAATCAAAGTGAACCCAACTTTTAAAAATTTATCTTGTAAAGAACGACAGCCATCACTGGACAGGTGTTGGCAACTAGCTGGTCGATGATGGGTTGAAGCTGATACGTAAGAAACATTTCTGAGACTAGCAGATGGTACGGTATGGCAAGTTTGAAGTAACAGAAAAAGGGTGCTTGCTGCTGCCCTTCATGCGGTCAATCTCAGGAGCGGGAAGGAAAAGTGAATTTTCTCTTCCAGTCGCCAACAAACTACTTATGGTGATGTTTTGGCTGTTCAGAGCTTTAAAAATGTTCAGTAAATTTCTGAACGGTGGCTCATTTGATTTTGAACATTTCCAGCTGACAGTTATAGATCGCTCATTATGTCATGATGTTTCTGTCCCATGACTTTCACTGCTCTGACTTCTCTCTGTTGACAACACTCTGTCCAATTTGACCCTTGTGCTATAAAGCTTTATTTGCTTCTGTTAGGCAGTGTTCAGTCTCTCACTGTACGTCTTTGGGATACAGAGTAAAAAAAAAAAAAGATCTTCAAAGGAAAAAGCAAATTGTGACTGTAATGATTTCTAAACAATGACAACATTATATTTTCTGAGCATAGCAGGGCCTCTGTTCCCAGATTTCATGCTCATTAATCAGATTCCAAACTAAAATTTAAAACAATACAGTCACATTATAACAAAATTCCTCCTTCACTGTAGGCTTGGATGGAGCAGGATATGAAATGCTAGGGTCTCATTTAAGCTTCCCTATAAGAGGTCACTTATGTGCCATTGATTTCAAAATCTGTAGATGACTGATGTTTTACAAATGAGCTAATTTCACATGTGCACAAAAGTACTACAGTTAAAACAGGAGTTACAAACTTGCAGCATGTGTCTATCTTTTTTAATGTTAAATTGTCACTCTTTTCATGGCCCACAAGATATAATCCGAAAGTCCAACAGTAATATCTCCAGCTCTGTATGCACGCACTTTCTCTTGAGTCCAATAATGTTGTTGCCCAAGTTAAGGCAATCTAACATTGTAATAGCTGTAAGCGAAAAGACTAAATATCTGTTAGTTCTTGTTCAGAGATAATGGCTCTTGACAGATTCCCTTGTGACAGCTTTCATGATATCACATTTTGGCTAAACTTTACGTCTTCACAACAGGTTTCAAAGAAAGAAAGTTGACGTGGTGGAGGAAGTGAGGCTACCTCACATTTATCACGGCATCTTGCATTGGACTGAATACTTAGGATGGGAGAGCATGAGTTAAAGGGTAGATGAGCAGGGGTAAGACTATGATCTAGCAAATCATACACCAAATTAAGGGGACCCACCTAAACAGCTCAGAAGATCCTAAAATACGCAAATCATCAACAAAAACACACAAGACCCTGAATATGGCCATGCTCCTAAGTTAAGATTTCTTCAGGAAGGGATGTGCACATATCCATGTGTGTACACTGCTCCATTCTCAGGAGGGCACTGTCTACCCATAGTGTACTTGGAATTGTTGTGTCCAATTTGCACATGAAGGAATCAGAGCACGTTGATTTAAAGAGGCCTTCAAAATTAACAGGGTTCAAAAGCCCTTTCTATAATGATCCAGAACAGCAATGGAAAAATACAGCTATTCTTTCCTACCAAGCTCCTGATCCCAGACATTGATGCAAATCCTGGGTTTACTGTACAGGTCTACGTAAGTCCATCCCCTAAGTTCAGATTCTCACGGCAGCCCTTAGGGCTCCAGATTTGGTTACACTTTCCACAGAATAATGACAAGGATCTGTGTTTTGGCACAAAAAAATATTGGTATGGAGGTCAAAGCTGGCTCCAGCCAAAGTCTTTCCAGCTACTTTAGGAAAAAAATATACATGCTAAATATAATTGTTCCCTGCATTAATCCAGAATGTCAATGGACTCTCAATATCTGCTTTGTATATGTATGCAACTGGATGGTGGTTCAACATGCTCTGATTTCTAATGGGAACTCAGTTTGATGTAACTTTCATGGCACCAAGTGCCTTCTTATGTGACTATGTATACACACACCATGGCCACAGCATTTCTAAAGGCAGTCATACAGATCTGAGTCCCCCCAAACCAAATGTTAGTGTTCTTTCTAGCATCTTCCCAAAAAGAAAGATGAACTACGAAGGTCAGCATTCCATTAACCTAAAGTTCAAAGATTGATCAACAGTGGTATCCATTCACCTTTCATGTTTAGAGACTTAAAACTTAGTTACATAAAAAGTTACTTCATGCTTTCAGATTAATTGCAGATTAGATGACATTGCACAGAAATAATCAATGAACAACAGGAATGAAAACAGTCACATTGAGTAAGTGTAAAATCAACTCCACTTTTTCTTATATATATAAAACATTGATAATATCTTCCTTTATTCTATCAAATTTAAGCAATTCACTAAGGAAAAACAAATATATGAATGTTCTCATTTATACTCACAAAACTCAATCCAACATTCAGCCAAAATAGGAAAGTTGTAAACTCGATATTGATTTTATAGCAAATTGATTTCAACTGGGAATAAGTGTACCAATTTGGAAACTGTGAGATGTTTCACTCATATAGACTAAAGTGTGACTACAGATTTGATGATCTCAGGAAATTCCAAAATGTTCAATATATTCCTGACTGGGTTTCTTTTGAAGGTCACAGTTTACTGGGGGAAAATGTTTTCTAGTGATGAAATAAATATGAACACAAGAAATCTCAAATCTTTGATGGTATTTTGGCTACATGAGGCAATGCCATTTTTGTATATGTGTTGGTAACCTGGTTTGTCCACAGGAAATGGTTTTCAAGAAAATGTCACCATTTTATGGGACTAAAAGCTTCACCAAAAACCTGCATTTTGCTGGACAATGTGGTTTAAGGTGGATGCGTGTGTCTGAACTGAGCCTGCTCGGTTTTATTTAATTGGTTCAAATCATCTTTACGTCCTTCTGCTATTTCCTTTCCACTTGATTTCCAAAACTCCTATAAACTATCACATAATGTCATGGTTTACTAAATACATGTCATAAAGTTTCAACTGTATTTTCCAAAATATGTTCTAGTGAGTGGTAGTATATATTACCTACTCTTCATACCTGTGTACTCAGGTGGGCAAAGGCAGGTGTAGTTATTAATCCCATCAACACACGTAGAATTATTTTCACAGTCATTATCTTCACAGTCATCAATATTGATTTCACAGTTTTCCCCTTCAAATCCATCAGCACAAATACACCTGATCACCAGGGAAAAGAAAATAATCAAAAAACATAATTTTGTCTCATTTTCAAGCCACATTGCTTTTGAAAAACCTCATAAGTATCGTAATCTACTACATGGCTTTAACCACAAGAAAAGTTAAATTTAAAGGCCTTTAAATAAAGTATTTTAAATTAAATTTTAAAATGCCTTTAAATGAAATATTTTTAAGCACCAATAAGATAACATCCATCAAATCTGAACATAAAAAAGAAAAGAAAAATCTTTGTTATATGACAGCAGGCTACATCATCTTACAAGTCAATTAATGCAACAGCATTGCAGGTCTCCAAGATAAAACTCCATCTATCACATACATATGTGAATGTGGAGTTATGCTATCATAAAATAATTCATTGTTCATAAATAAGGAAGAATTGATTCTGATTTTAAAATTATATCTACTGCATGAGATATTCTCAACGTCTTAAACCAGAAAAAACTCTGAAAATTTGTTTGGCTTTCTTGCTATTACAAATGTGAATACTGTTTGTGGCACAACAAATACAATCTTTCCGTGACACATATATTCAATTTTTATTAAATATGAAAACAATCTTTGACTAAAGTTTAGAAAAATGAGATACATTTTCATAACAAAGATCATTAATGAATTCTATTTCTTCCGAAAATGACATCTCCAATAAACATTAGTAGATTAGCATTCTCACATACAGTTATTAGCATCCTTTAATAAAGAATTCTATTTTATAATTCATGAAGTACAACTGAAGTAATTGTACCATATGACTAAATAACCACAGATTTAAAATGTTCACAGCATGTTTGTCTACTTACACTGGAGTTTGGAAATGAATTAATTTTCTGTTCCAGTGGGAAATTTATCTTATCATTAAACACTATCAGTGAATCAGATGCAAAATGACAAATGAATATGTGAATTGCAGTAAGTGATTAGTTGCCTATTAATTAGCATATTGTGGCCAATGCATTGTTTTGTACTGATATAACCTGATTAAACATAATTTATGTGTGCACATGTTTTAATTTTTAAAAATTTTGTTGCATCCTGATTTGAGAACACTGTAATATTCCCATGCTTTCTTTTTGAATATATTTCAATAGCTCTGACAAGCATAAACACATATAGTATTGCCCTTCTAGTAGCATTTTTAAAAAATAATATTCTTTAATTCGGAAAGGAAAATCTAGGTTTGCTTAGTCATTCTTGCTCCGAGATATCTGACGCCTACCAGAATCCATCTTTCTCTCCTTCTTTTAAGTGGCAGGTGCCTCCATGCTTACACGGGTTGCTGATGCAGGCATGAATGGGAATATCACAGTCTTGGCCCTGGAGGAGGAACAGTCAAGGAGAGTCAACTGTCATCAAAGTCATTCTCAGTACACCAAAAAACCCAGAGTGGAATCATGAGGGTGCCTTTATAAAAAGCTTTTTAAATTTTTTTTGGGGGGGGAGGAATGTGTCTCCCCAAATAGCCTCTGCTTACCTTGAATCCATAGGGACAGGTGCATCGATAAAAGTCAACAGGGTCATTATTGCAGGTGCCATCATTTTTACATGGGTTTGACAGGCAGGGATTACATTTAGCGAGAATATTGACATCAACAGGACCTAAAAAGTAATTGAAGCACATGAGAACCTGAAGCTATTTTTTAGTTTACTTAAAACTATTTCCATGCTTTTAATAAAACAGTACATTGTCAATAAAATTAATTTTGATTACTCGTCTATAATTTGTGTGAACATACTATGTTCAGGAATGCACCAAGGTTTTATCTCTCTTGGGTATCACTGTGGGACTCCGCAATGTCACAGTGTGACATTGAGGTAGTATTTTAGGGGGCATTAGGAATACCAGGATCACAGAGCAGGTGCCGCAGACCACCTTATGGGCATGTGTTCCATGGACAGCCTGTGTCTCAGTATCAGTGAGTATCATAGAAACGAATGCCATGGATTGGAGAGAGGATTATATGTGGGTGTGAGAAAGTTGAATTTTATGACTAGGTAAGAAGTTGTTAATGCAATGAACAACAATTAAAACTCCTCAGATAACATTAGCTCATGCGCATCCTGTAGGAGATAGAAAGCATTGGCACTATTGCATATATGAAGTTATATCAAAAGTTAATTTCTGTTCTAGTCTCTGTTATATTTTTTTGACTTAGTTTATTTGCTTACCAGCATACTTCTTCCCTATTTTGTTCCCCCAAAAGCAAATGACTTGTAATTTACATTTTGCGATATACTTTAAAAACCTCATCCTTTAGAAGCATTTGGTAGAACAGTTAAATACCACTTAGGGGATGGCATCCTGTAGGGAAGTCCCCATGTCTGGTCCTGGCTGTGCTCCTGGCTATGGATTTCTGCTCACTGCATCCTGGCAGGCAAAAAGTGATGGGCAGAGAACCTGGGTACTTGCCACTCACATGGGAGATCTAGATTAAGTTCCTTCGTGGTTTCTGCCTGGCCCAGCATGGCTTGCTACAGGCACTTAAGGAGTGGAGACAGACAGGGAGAGCTCTGTCTTATGAAGAGGACAGCGAGATCTCTGTGGGAAATGCATTTTTTCTCAAAATAACTGCATCCTCTGATGCTACCATTTTGCACTGTTTGCGGTAATTCACTAGATTGTCTTTGGACAACTCTGAATAGGAAAACAATGACATGTCTATAAATACAATAAAAATACTTTATAATATGAGCATTAATTAATTACTGTAATCATCCATTTCTCAATGACTCTCACTCCTCATTAGGACATGCCACAATCATCCTGACTGCAGAATTCATGACACGCAATTCTTGCTGAAGTTACTAGCAGCATGTGGCTCCTACTGATTGCTCTAATCCTCTAGGGCAGCCCCCTCAAAATGTCTTACGGCTTCTCTTCGGATACACTGCCTCCCATGATAGTATATTCAAAGTTTAGAACTGTTTATCAGTAGTTGGTATAACAGTACAAACTCAGGTGGGTAATGCAAAGAAACGTGGCGGCCATTGATGTTTTCCTATCTGCTCCTATATCCCTTGCCCTGGGACTTACCCACCCACAATCAGTGCAGAATGATTCTGTATTAAAATTAGTGGTGGGAAGGGATCTGGGGAGATGGAAGGAGAAGTGTTAGAGCCTATGGAATTGCATCATAAAATAAACAAATAAGTAATTTTTTAAAAAATCCACAAAATGGATACTTTCTGCTGACAACACTAAAAAACACCCTTGAGCTATGTCTATACAGAAATTCCTGTTTGTGCACAAATGTTAGAAAACAGAAAGCAGTTCTGGAAAGCACTGTGTAAGTGGGAGGGATGTCTCTAGTGACTGTGAAATCACCGAGACTGCACCGGTTGTCTATTTTCTCTTGAGAACCAGTGTAATGAATACGGTTTCTGTATCCAAGTGTAGCTGGGAAACTGGTGCGGTTAATTCTGAAGTGAGTCTCATGGACATTTAATTTCTTACCCCCTCCCCCAACTTATTTATCAATTAAGGACAAAAATTCAGCCATCCAGCACATTGGTGAAATGAATGGTGGCAGTTAGTTAAGGCAGTTAAAGTAACATTAATATCCTGCAATAAATGGCTTTCATAGTTAAAGTTATCAAATTTAGACACAGCAAAGAAATGGAAATTTCTAAATAGCAGTGGATTCCTCAGCCAAAGTGGAACCGAGGAGAATCTAAGGGTGAAAGAGGAGGCTGAAGCTGCTAGGAATCCTGCAGCCCAACAGCACCCCGCGAAGTGCGAGGCCCATGCAAATTCACCCCACCTTCCCAAGACCCTGAGGGACAAATGGCTCAGGGTCTAATTTTGTGCTTTCAGCCCTGTAAGAGTATGAACAACCGCCACAAGTACAGTGCAACCTTAAGAGTCCGAAAGGGTTTTCTTGTCTTTTTTCTTGGCAATACTGCTCATTAAGGAAGTAGAGGCATCAAGCTTTTCCCCTTTCAAAAGCTAACTGGTTCCAATAAATGTTAAAATATTGGCAACAAATTAGCCCTCATGAGATGTACATTGCAGAGGGGGAACGACGCCCTCTCAGAAGGATCCGCACATTTACTAACACTGCTGAAATGAAGGAGGAAATCTCGGCTAACTGGATTGAATTAAGCTTTGGTCTTGACTTAAGAGAGCAGTGTAACGACAGCTGCACGGACGGAGGTGTGCTCAGCTTAATAATTCAAAGGGGAAATAAAAAGAAAGTTGCATTACCAATCTGTCTCTGTCAGTTATTTTAAAGTTTAATGGAAGAACTGCTGGATCTCAAATCCATTAAAGCCTGTAGGGTGACTTGCTTACTTGAGGCAAATCAGTAGCTGTGCACCTGACAGCAACGTTGCCACCCACTGAGAAATACACCTCATCTTGATTTGTGACGGAAAGCTCCAGACAAAACTTTTAACTATGTCTAGGGGTCTGTCTGTATTCTGGCGTCCCTTGGAAACATGAGTCAGATAACAAGATCCTCTAGCACTTGTATAAAGGCAGAGGTACATCAATGAGAGCCAAGGAAACATGAAGGAGTATTTGAAGGTGGATGTAATGAACTAAAAGGAGATTTCTAATTAAGACCAATGACTATACTCTACTTGCTATCCTTACATTTTCCAAGCATTACTAACAAAGCTATATTGTTAAAATAACACTCCATTCTTAAAGCATCCATTCAACAACTATTTCTTGAGGGTCTACTCTGCCCCAGGTATTATACTTAAGTGAGGAACCAAAGCCAAGAGAAATGCCTGAGTTTCTGGAAAAGGTCTTTGCTCAGCTGTAGCACCGGAATATGTAACATACACATACCAGCGAGAGAAAGAGTGGCAGGGAATGAGAGTGTATGTCTCAGAACGTCTTAAGTTTCTGCATGCCATGAAGGCAGAGGAATCGACCAAGTGGATTACATAAATAGAAATCAAGTTCACAAGAAAAGGCCCGGATATCTGAAGTCATTATTCGAAATCAACTGAGGAATTAACAGAGCTAGAAATATCAACCTACTTATGTCGACACTAAATAGTGGATAAAAATAGAAAGAGTTATCAACAACTGGGATGGAAAGAAAAGTTCATGGGAGATATGTATTATGTAGAAACTATGCATAGATTTCTGTTTTTGCCCTTAAACATTTTCAACTGTACTTTTCCATTAATATGTTGAAGTGATCTCATATCTTTACACACAAGAATATTACCATATCTCCTTGCTGTTACAGAATCATCCACTTAAAGGTATCTTTTGGTGGAATGCAGGCTCTGTTTTTAACCGGTTGGTTGTTTTACTTTTAACACTGGGATTCGGTATAAATGAAACACTTGGAATGTATGGACTTAATTTTTGCAATAACACACTTTCCTACTTTTTACTTGTTAGCTACTCAGTTAGCTACTCAAGGTAATATCCTCGCTGTTTACAGTAAAAATAGCGATGTCAGCTTGGCTTTGACATAAAAATTCGTCTTCCTGCTGCAATTTTAAATTTACTTGCATTGGCAAACCATAATATTGAAAGTCTATACTTACATAATTTTATATGTAAGTTATTATAGTTACATATATAACATTTATTACATAAAATATACCTACATAATTTCCAGGAGAAAATTCTAAAAATCACAATATTAAGCAAGTGTAACTATTTGGGAAGTTGTTAAATATGGAAACATCAAATTATAAACTATCTAAACAAAAACACTGTATTTCTTAGCTTATAACACATGCTCAACATCATAATGGATTTCTCTGAGTTCATCATTTAATTACATAGGTTAAAATAGTTTGCCTTCTCTCAGTCCATTTCTTATGTGTAAAGAAACCAGGAAAGCATTGGGAGGTTAGTTCAAAACTTTTCTAAGTATGCTTCAACAGCAGATGTGTAAACTTCAGCGTCAAGCTTTAACGTCAGAATGAGAGCTCAAACTTTGATTCTTTCACACACTGGTTGTTGGAGTTTGCTTATTCTTCTTCATAATATATTCCCATCTCTCAAGCGGGGAAGTTACATAACTCAGTTGGGAACGTCCACCGGTTTTGTTCTGACCTAGCCATGGCTGTGTGGGCACGCGGGCAGTAAAACAGAGGAAGGAAGAGGAATGGATGTCACCCTCCAACCCTCCCTCTCTCTCCCCCATCTCCTCCATCTCTCGCTTTCTTTATTCTGTCTGCCTTTCAAATGAGCAAATATATCTTTCAAAAAAAAAAAAACAAATAAAATGTCACTTTCTACAGTGTGCAACAGCTGAACATGGCTTTGTAACTATTTAACACTACTGAGTAAAGTATTACATTTCAACTTAAAATCTTTCAGTGTGTATAGTTCTCAACAGTTCCTCCTTTTATCAACAAATCACTGAGTACTCAGTGTCACTCTTTGTTGGTGACTTCGTATGTAATACCATCTGTAGCTAACCTATGATGACTGTTATTATATGTCAAACAACATATCTTCTGCACATTAACTCATTTAATCTTTCTAAGATTCAGGTTAGTACTAAAATAATTTCCCTTTATAACATGAGGAAACTGAGATACTAACCAAGTGACTAAAGGAAGGTTACTGAACTACCGGAAGTGAAGCTGTGATCTAGCTACAGCAGGCTGGCTTCCAGAACCCATGCAGAGACCCACTGTGCAAAATCTTTATGCATATTTGTCCCACATAAACCCTGAAAACTGACCTTTACAGCCAGGCATACAGTGAGCCTGTGCTACAAACCCCTCTGTGGCGGAGAACACCTAGAACTTAGTCTCACACATTACACATATCATCAGTATGATGACTATACATTTAGAAGTTTCAAGAATTTTGATTTTTGATCTAATATTTCTGCAAGACCCTCTGGAAACATTCAGTCTCAGAATCACAGTGGAACACCCAACTCTGGCTTCTCCTGCAGCTTCCTGCCGAGGTAGGACCTGCTGGTCAATGGGGATCGTTCAGGTAAGAGGTGTTCTGATCCCCATGTGACAGTTCCGGATTCAGTTCTCAGCTTCTAGGTCCCAGCCGTTGGACTGGCCCAGCCCTTGGACTGGCCCAGTTCTGGCGGCTTCGGGTATTAGGAAAGTGCGTGTTCTCACTCTTTTGAGAAACAACAGTTAAACAAAGCCCCACATATTTGACCTTCAAAAGTAGAAACATACGCAAAATAAGTTTAATGGTGGTTGTTCCCAGGCATTGTAATTAAGTGCTAATGCCATTCCTTCTTGCAGAAATAAGGTGTTTCTCATTTATACTTTTCTGTTTAATATTCCAGAGTGGGAATGTATTATTTTTGTAGTAAGACAAAACATTATCTTATTAGGAAACTACCTAGAATTCACAAGGACATAAAACAAAGGGGAAGGGAAGGGCTACAGCAGAGCGGGAGGAGGGATGTCCAGCACAACAGGATGTCCACAGTGCGAGAGGAAAGTCAGAAGGAAAGTCCCCGACACTGGGGAGCCCATCTCCTTACCTGGCATCAGGAGGCCACAGGGCCCTGGCAGCTCTAGGGGCAGGGCACATGTTCAGACAAGGCAAAGGCAAAATATGGCACTTGTTAGAGGCTGTGACAAAAATTCCCAGAAACTATGTATTCTTCACTCTCCTTCTTCAAGGAATTTTCAAAAGTACCCAGTCATTGCCAAAGGGCTAGTCCTGAGATCTATTGGGGACTCATAGCTTTTCCTTTGGGCATTTCAGCAGACTGCTCTATCTCGTCCAAGCATGAGTGGAAAGGATGCTTTGGCTGTGAAACTCTGGAGTTTAAAGTCGGATATTCTCTGCTCTCTTAATTAACAAAACGACTCTGTTTAAAGAAGCACAAGTGAGAAGAAAATATACCTTGGCATGTAAATTTTTTGGAGGGCGTTGTGAGGAGCAGCTTATCTGCCATTTCTCCAGGACCAGCGCAGCGAGCAATCCCGGGCTCCTTATATTCCGACTTGACCCAGTCGGACAACCACTGCATGTTACAATCACAGTAAAGAGGGTTGGCTCCAATCGCTCTGGAAAAACAACACCACAAAAGCGCACATACAGACAGGTAGGGAAGTTTTGTTATTTCCTATGGGAACAGAATTCAAACTGATGCTCAGAAGAAAATCCCTATAGGTTCATCAATGGCAATGATTTAAAAGGAAATGGGGACATTGAGGATTCTCCCATTTTGCTAACATTGGGGCAGCTGGGAGCGGCGGGGTGTGTTGGGGTTACCGCCTATCTGCACTTTACAAGTTCTTATTTTGTCAGATTGGGTTGTGCTGGGTGACTGTGTGCCCGCCCTAAGCACAAGAACACACGCTTCGTTCACCAACTGGCCATGGAGAATGGAGTCTACAGGCAAGATTCCTAGGTTGCAAATATGAATAACTAATTCTTCTTCATTCAAAATTCCTCCTTCAGAAACCAACAAGTCGCAATACATACACAAATTTCCTCAGAAGTGTTATAGTAGACATATTATAAGATGATTATTGACAAAAGCATTAGTTTTCCCTGAAGTGGGTGCAGGTGATGGAGCAGCTGCCTGGGAAAGAATTCAGCAGGTGAGAAACGGTAGTGAGGAGGTTTCAGGTGCAGGGGTGCTACGTTCAAAGGCACAGAGACGAGAAGTGGCAAGAAACCATGAAGACATAGAAAGAATGTAATTATACTTGTTCGGCACAGCACATTTGCATCAATACTTGCTGCCTGTCCCTTTGGAAAGTTACTGCAGACCTTTGATGTGTACTGCCATCAGTAGTAGCACTGACAGAAAGCAATTATAATACTAGTTAATTCTGCATCATTTTTGCAAATGTTTTCAGAGAAATGTAAAAGTTAAGTTTGCTCTGTTGCACAAATTTGAAATGATACATAAGTTTTTCATGCTATGTCTTTTCAACAACTTTCTGAAGACTCCTTATATGTATGGGCTTAATTTTTTCACATATAATAAACCTCATTTTTAAAACAAAAACATTTTGTCATTTATTTGAAATGCATAGCAATAGAGGGAGGGAAGGAGAAAGTAGGGTTGGTAGGTGGCTAATGGGGGCGAGAGAGGGATTGAGAGGGAGGGAGGCAAGGAGAGACACAGAGAGAGAGAGAGAACGAGAGAGAGAGAATATGAATATCTTATACCTGTTGATTCACTCTCCAAGTGCTTGCCATGGTCAGGCCTGGGCTAGGCCAATGCCAGGAGGCAAGAACTCCATTTGGCTCACACACGGACAGCAGGGCCCATACTTGAGCCTTCTGCAGGTTTCACATTAGCATACAGCAGAGCAGACAGGGCTCAAACCACGGCTTTGGTATGGGAAGCTAGTATCATGGGTTGTGGCTTAGCCTGGGGTCTTATCATGCGATTCCTCCAAGATACCTTTTAATCCTATTTTTTCTTGACCTTTTATGTGCAGTAACTGGGATAAGTGCACCCTAAATTTACACAATTTCTTTTTCATTTTTTTCTTTAACCTTACACTATAAAACTGGTATTATTAATAATCTGCTTTGCAGATTAAGATACAGATGTCTGCATTGAGAATTTAGCCGAGCTTTTTAAAAATATTATTATTTTGCTTTTCTTGGAAAGGCAGATTTACAGAGAGAAGGAGACACAGATAGAAATATCTTTCTTCTGCTGGTTCACTCCTTAACTAGCCTGCAGCTGGTTAAAGACCGGAGCTAGAAGCCAGGAGCTTTCTGGGTCTCCCATTTGGGCACAGAGTCCAAAGGCTTTGGGATGTCCTTTATTGATTTCCCAGGCCACAAGCAGGGAGCTGGATGGGAAGCGTAACAGCAAGACACAAACTGGTGCCCACTCGGGGTCCTGACAGTTGCAAGGAGACAATTTAGCCACGAAGCTATTGCATGCTGAGCTTTTAAGATGCTGGTTAAAACAGCAGTCTCCTGCTCTGGAGTACCTAGCTTCAGTACCCAGCTCTGGCTCCTGTTCCAACCTCCTGCTCAGGCAGGCCTGGGAGGATGTAGAGAAGGCTCAAGGAACTGGCTTCCTGCCATGCATGTGGAATTTCCGGACTGGGTTCACAAATCCTATCTTATCCCTGCAGAGCCAAAACTGTTGCTGGCATATGGGAGTGACTTAGTGGGTGGGAAGTTCGCTCTCTCTCACCTGCTCAAAGAAAAGAAGAAGTAAAAGAATAAAAGGAAGAAAAGGAAATAAGACTATTTAGTTTATGGATAATGAATCATTAAGGCAATCCCCAAAATATGCTTATAAAATCACAATCATTTCATTATAGTAATCTTGCGGCTCAACATTAACCAAGAATTGAAATGTAGTGGATTTTATGTTCATAAAAAATGCCAGAGTCAAACCTTTCGAAATTAGAAGTGAGAAAAAATGGTGATTTTGAGACATACGATTTTATTTTTACTAACATTTGCTAAGTCCTTACTATGATGAGAGAAAAAGTAGAAAGAGAGTGGAGTGGGGCACTTTGTGGTCCACACAGTGAGAGACAAACGCATACATGAAATCAAAGCAGAACATGTCACCAACGAATACAGAAATGATTCCCATGCTGGGTGCCGGTGGTGGCACAAAGCACGTTCTGTTCAGCTCAAACATCACCCACACTTCCCAGGCTGCCTTCTCTGATTCATGTCCCCGACGGCTGCAGGACTACTTCCTTTGTTCTACACGCTCTGCTGGGGAACAAGGCTGCCTGCTCCTGCCTCCATTTAACGGCAGCCATGCAATCAGTAAAGGAGTGGTCAACTACCAAGTAGGTGCTGCCACACTAAGACGAAAGCGTGGACATCTTGTTTTCTGGAACCTTGTGGTCTAGTGAAGCAAACCTTAACAGTAGATGTCAAAGAGTTTGACAGATAACAGTAACAAAAAATCACATGGGTGACAAGCTGAGATGTGACATGTGAGACAACTGGATTCTTTTTCTTCGATCATCATTTAATTCCCAATCTTATCAACTCATCTTTTGGTAGTCAGGGGTTTTGGAGTGGAATGTAAAGCCCAGTAAGCATACTCCTTTCAACCTCTAGTGGGGAACTGGGGTTCAGACCGCAGGGATATTGAGATTGAAGTCATTAGCTGCCAGCAGGTGGTGCCAAACTCATTCAATGTCGCTTTGGCTCTTGCAGCTGCTCTCTGACGTCTTTATAGGTTGTCATGGTCTTAACATTACATACAGTAATAATGTAATAATGAAATACCAATAAAGTTTTATGGGCACAGTTACTTAAAACATTTCATTGCAGTTCCAAGAAAAAAATGGTGGGTACCATGAGGATGCTAAAGCAGAAAACATACGGAAAGCATTCCATCCAATGAGGCCATGGCTCCCTCCAACCACTAGTATTCAAAGTCATGCACCATGTTTGATTTCATTTTTGCATAGGAATCACAGTTGATGAGGGGCAATCTAGGCTACATAAGTGGATCTATTTCGATAAAATCAGGATGGGCTTGATGGGAGTGGAAAACCCTGAGAACAAAAGGTTCAGGCAGGTGCAAGCCGGGAGCCTCGTCTGTAGCAGGGCTGAGCCAGGAGAACCCCCGCACCTGTAGAACTGTGGAACTTCCGGTTAGGTGGACAGCCTTGCCATGTTCTTGAAAGATGAAGCAACCACCTCTATAGTGTAAGCAAAATGGCAGAGGACAGTTCCCAAATCACTCACTACAACGATTCATCCTAAACCCGCACGCACGAAGCAGATACTCACAGGTGTGATAATGCAGAAAGATCGTTGAAGGCACCTTCAGGCACAGCAGAAATGTCATTCCCATGTAGAGAACTAAAAGAAAAAGAATCACTGAAATGCTTTATTTCATGCATGTACGAAACAGTATTTTATTATAGGCATTTTAGGCCAGTGCAAAATAAATACTTTATTTAATAGTAAATGTTTCCCTGGGAAAGCAAAACATAAGTTGCTCCCTCACACAGCATGCACGAAATAAATTCCAGATTGAAATATTAGATGTAGAAATGTTAAAAAATCTAAAAAGTAAAAGAGAAGATTTCCTTCTCACAAACACTGAATATCAAAAACGCAATGAAACACCCAGAAACTATAATCAGAAGTTCAGTAACTTGTTGGTACGATCTAATATATCTATATGAGACATGATTCTGTATAAGGAATAGAAAGAGAAGTGTTTACAATGCAGATACACAGGGAATGATTAATTTCTTTATAAAAAGACCTACACACAAGGTCAGGATGTAGATGCATCAAGACATCTATTTTAACTAAGACAAGAAAAATTACCCAGTAGAAAATGGTAAAACGAAATGATGAGGCTCATTAGAATATAACAGAATCAAAAAGGTTCAATGAGCAATACATATTTAAACACTTTGGCACTTGGTAATGAAAATTAAACATGTGGAAAATGTTTTGATATGTCATATGCACAAAAAAACACAAACGATAGTATTTGCAAGAGGCTTTGAAAAATGTACCTAATTAATTGGGCAGTAGAAAATTCAAATTTGTTGGTTAATAAAATCTTCCCTGAGGAACAATCTGAATCAGACTTTTGGTATTCTCCCAACTGTTCTTAACTGTAACATCCACCTTAGCCATTGCTGAAATGCTGGCACACTCAAATCAATATATATATAGAATTCTAGTGTTGCAGTATTGTAAGAAATAATTACCCATGTAGGTAAACTTAATCCAAATGCCAAGATTAAATCAGATATGGTTGTTCTTACCTACTGACTGTTAAACAGCTGAGTGATATCTACATACAATAGAATAGGAAAATTCTAGAACATTCATTAAATAACAATAGATGAGAAATGATCCTACTTTTGGCTTTTAAAACACATGTGAATACTTATGACAGAACGTAAAAACAAATGTACCTAAGAAGCAAATCAGAGGATCATGTTAAATTGTTTAAATTGTTAGTTCTAGAGAAAGGTTATGGGATTGTGAATCGTATGTTATTTCATATCTTTTAATGTACATTTTATGGTTAAACATATTCATTTACTATACAATTCATAAATAAATTAAATGCCCCCCTTTTCTGTCAAAATCCATTATAATTGGATAAAACACCTGGCTAATGTTAAATAGTACCAACTAAATGATTATGGCAATAAGGACTATAAGTAAGGTTATAGCATTCCAATCAAGTAAGATATGATGTCCCTATTTCCAAACGCGTGTGATAAATATGAGTGTGCATATGCAAAAATCGCCATAAGTGAGGCTAGCTGTGAGATACTCATAACGATGACCCATCACTCAGATCTCGAAGAGAAGTCGTGCTCTACGCGACATAGATACTTACAGCAGCCGGAGAGACTTCAGGCCATCGAAGGTTCGAGAGGGAATACATCGCAGGCGGTTGTAACTAAGAATTCTGAAAGCACACAGATGCCACGTGGTTTAACTCTGGAATCCAGAAACGTCCCCCATCATTTATAAAACGAAACATGAAAGTACTGCTGAGCATCTTACAAATTAAGAATGCCTGCACATAATGTAACAAGCAATCACTGTGCCATTTCCTTACTGTGACATATTTATTCCCTCAGCCTACTAACGCCCTCCTCTGTCCACACGGCTGATTTTGTGCCCCAACCAGCCCCTCTCTGAAGTGTCTCCCCCTGGAAAACTACCTACATACACCACCAATGTAAATCAGCCATTGCCTCTTTCGTAGAAGCCAGTACTTTCTGTACTGTCGGCATTTGTTTGATCCCTTGGGCTGTATTTGTTTCTCCCCAAGAGAACTGACGTTGTGTGGTGGCAGAGACTGTCCTATTCTCCAAGACCACCGTCCAACATCTAAAAACGCACGTTGCCCTACAGCTTGGTCAATACTCAGTCCACACTTTCACACTCACAGGGTCAGGAGCTGGCTCATGTTGCTGAAGCTCTGATTGGAAAGGGTGCTTATTCTGTTGTTACTTAAATCTCTGAAAGAGAAGAGAGAGATGGACTCACTCTGAATCTACATGGAAAATGAGTCATTCTAACAAGAACTCTGTTGGTTCCCAGTTCAAGCAGTACACTTTGCCCTCAGCTATTGCATGACAATCAACTTGTAAAAAAAACTTTAGGATTGCCCTCTGGGGTAAATTACAATAAAATTATTTACAATTATTCACATCCTGCTCTGTTGAAGTGCAGAGGTACCATATGATTTGCTTTAACCAGGAAGAGCTAGTTCAATGGTTGCTCAATGGCTGTTCAATGATATAAGTTCTTGTGTCAGATAAGAAGCATCTTTGAGAAAAATCGTTTTCCCACATCCCTCTGCTCCATTCACTCAGGACACATGATGTTCCAAGGAGCTTTCTTGGAGACAGGTGACTCACGATAGAAAGGGCTTACAGGTGACAGACGAAGCTTTGCGAATGATACCAGGCACATGCTTTTGGTCACTGCACTCAAATCCAGCAACTCAAAGAACTCCTGATACCATTCTAACCTCTGATGGCTGCATCTCTGGCACATAATAGAGCCACAGTAAACATTCGTTTAATGAACTGGTAATGAGAGATGACTAACTTTACCAATGCTAAATGGCTATTTGCAAGGATAGCATGTATTACAGCATACGATTAATATGCTAATACGTTAACATATATTTAACTATAAATAAAACCAGTATATATTACATAGTTTTATGTAGCAAAATAAATGAATAAGTGCAAGATTCTGAAAAGCTGGGATTATCTATTCCTCTCTTGAATTGTCAATATAACAGTAACCTGGGAAAACACTGCAAACTTACACAAGTTTTACTGAAAAACTAAACTCCAAATTTTAAGAATAAATGTATTTTAGAAGTTAGTTGCCCAGACTTGTACAATAGTCAGGGTAAAACCATCTCCAGATTCCCAAACTCTCACTTTCTACTTGTAGCAGGTTTCAGATAAAAACACACCACCCATCAAGTGGAATTCTGCTAGAACTACCTTTGGAAATTGCTTCAATTTAATGGTTTACAGAACAAACATATCTAATGATATCTTTCTGCTCTCAAAAAAAAAAGGAGACAGAATAAGGATATCTTTTCATTTGTTCGCTTACTTGCCATTTAAATAGAGGTTTTTTTTATTTTTCCAAACTTTTCAGAAAAACATGAGGCTGACCAAGAGCTTTGTGACTGGTTTCAATGCATTCACATGACGCTCAGATTAGACAGAACATCTGCTGTGTGGGTTTTTAGGATTCACTAATTAGCCCTAAACTCTGAATTTAAGCAATAAACTGTCACCTAAACTACCTATATTTTTTCTTAAATTAGTTAACTTTGAGTGAATTACAAGACATATTTAATCAACAAGTATAATTTTTGCTGATATTTTGGTGCTCTTCAAACTTACATCAATTACCAACAAGGCTACTCTAAAATGTGATATAACACGCACAAGGTTTTATCCATGTTCACATATTGTGCATGCAACCAGATTTAAATCCTTTTTTTGTATTTGTAATTCACTGATGATTAAAATTGTCCCTAGTAATAAAAAGAGATGCAATTATAGAAGGATATCAAATCAAACAAAAATTTAATATTGTAAAAACATATTTAGAATATCTGCAACTACGTCAAGCTTATTCAAGTAGTGTACAAATATTTATAAACTTTGCACAATAAACTTTAATACTAGAATTTCTTAAACATTTATGCTTATAAGAAGTTCAAAATTAATCAATTCAATGAAAGACATTTCAGTAATGTTACTAATCTCAAGCCTAAACTTAAGAATAAACACATTGTTTTCCATGGCTTAGCCAAAAAATAGCCCATTTCAATATCTGCAGAAAAAATGTGGTTGTACTGTGTTTTTTAACTTTTTGATCACTTCCATGTTACATGTTTTTGCTTTAATGTCTATTTTAATAAAGACAAATCCTTCCCTAACACATTATACCACCTGACATTCAATGAAGATGCAGCTGGTAAGCCAGAGCAGCAGTAAAGGCAGGGTCACCTAACTACATGACCTCAAAGGCCCACAAGCCTCCTGCTCATTGCCATTTTCACGAAATATATTAAGTCAAAGGTTGCAAAAATCTTGCATGTTACTCACATAAGTGTTAAATGTTTGTAGTTAGAGAGTTCCTTGGGAACCAATGTAAATTGATTTCCATCCAGATACCTAAAAACAAAGAAATGCTGTTACTATACAATAACGATGGTGTACTATAAAAGCAGCCGGTGATCTTTCATTTTTAAATGAAGCAAGGACTCACTTGGTAACTGTTGCTTTAAATGTCTTGCTCCCAGCTAATGCTGTTATGTAACAGAAGTAAAGAGAACATGAAAAACACAGAGGTCCAATCTCATAAAGAACTCCGCGAATCACTTAAGCTAAATTACAAAGCCATGGACACACTGCTGAGCTTCATGATTTAGCTAAAACATCAGGCAACCATCTCCATTTACGTGTCAGCAAGAAGGTTCTTTCATTAAGCACTACTTTCGGCTGCACTCTGGTTTGCTCATGTCTATGTGAAGACAACATCATGGAACTTGTTAACTGGTAACAAAGTCTCACTGTTTGACCAGCGCCATGGCTCAACAGGCTAATCCTCAACATTCAAGCACTGGCTTCCCATATGGGCACCAGTTCACGTCCCGATTTCTTTACTTTCCATTCAGCTTCCTGCTTATGGCATGGGAAAGTAGCAGAGGATGGCCCAAGTCCTCGGGACCCTGCACCCATGTGTGAGCTACAAAAGAGGTTTTTGGCTCCTGGCTTCAGATTGGCAAGGTTCTGTCCATTACAGCCATTTGGGGAGTGAGCCAGCCAATGGAAGATCTTTCTGTCTCATTATCTCTGTAACTATGCCTTCCAAAAAAAAAATTAAATAAATCTTAAAAAAAAAAGTCTTGTGGTTAAAACCAATCAGTAGATTTCATTCAAGTGCCTCAGCACTTGGATACATCTGATTCATTCAAGGACACATACAAGGATTGCAACACAACTTAATTTAAAGAGACAAAAGAGAGGCTGATGAAACTGAGGTTTAGCCAGCTAAGCCTCTGCCTGTTGCTTTGGCATCCCCTATGGAGGTCGGTCAGAGTCCCCACTGCTCCACTTCTGATCCAGCTCTTCTGGGAGGCAGCATGTGGATGCTCAACTCCTTTAGTCCTTGAACCCATGGTGGAGAAAGAGAAGAAATTCCTGGACTCACTCCAGCCATTGTGGCCTTTGGGGAGTGAATCAGAGGATGGAAGTCCCTTGCTCGCCACCTCCCATCGTTTCCCTGTCTCTCTGTAACGCTCCTTGCTTAAATCAATCAATTGATCGAACACTCAAGCAAGCAAGCTAGCTTCTAAAATAAGTTTTTACCACTGTAAATTTACGTGGTGGTAATTTTATGGAACATCATATCATTTCTTAGGACACAAATATAGAGAAAATATATTTTCAAAAATAATACTGAAATAACCACTTGTAGATAAAGTCTCCTTTTTTAAAAACTAGATTTGGAAGAATAACAGGAGAATAGATAAGCTTTGGGCAATCTGTCGAGACACAAAAAGTAAATGAAGGTTGCATTCATGACGTCACCATCTCTCTCTCCAAAGCTGTTTCTCCCCAGAACACAGATGCTGAAGAGAAAAAATGCCGTTTAGCAACCCAGGCCATCAGGCTATAGACATGCCTGTGGCCAGTTCTGTTACTTTAAACATGTGGCCCCTCCTGCTTCAATTTTGTGGCCAGGCTCAAAATTCCAGTTTGAAGTTGCTATTTTTGCTGGATACAAAGAAAAGAGCTGAGAAGCCTTGTCACATAATTCATATATAATATTTCAAAATGAGAACTTACATAAAGAGCATACAATGCCAAAATATGCAATAAACATTTGATTAAGAATCTGGCCTGTTGGGCCCAGCACAGTGGCACAAGTGGTTAAAGGTCCTCGCCTTGCACGCCCAGGATCCCAAATGGGCGCCGGTTCTAATCCCGGCGGCCCCTCTTCCCATTCAGCTCCCTGCTTGTGGCCTGGGAGAGCAGTCGAGGACGGCCCAAAGCTTTGGGACCCTGCACCCGCGTGGGAGACCCGGAAGAGGCTCCTGGCTTCAGACCGGCATAGCATCGGCCGTTGAGCTCACTTGGGGAGTGAATCATCGGGCAGAGGATCTTCCTCTCTGTCTCTCCTCTCTGTATATCCGCCTTTCCAATGAAAAAATAATAAAAATAAATCTTTAAAAAAATAAATCTTTAAAAAAAAAAAAAAAGAATCTGGCCTGTTACAAATTTGCATTTTTGCTTCTCCAGCTACCACCAGGGGCATACCACTAGAGGGAAGCATCATTCCACCTGCTTCAGCCCTTTCCCTTTACCTAGCAACATCACGGCAAATGGCATAAAGATTCAGGATATAGGCTATGAACACTCGCACAAAAAAGAATTTCAGGAACTCTGATATGGAACTGATTGAGAATAACAGGTATCATTTTTCAACCTCATCCACAAAGTACAAAGTTACTTTCGTTGAATTCTTTAACAAGATAATACCCATATGAAATGTTTTCAAAACATGCAGTGTATGCTACAGGCGAGGTGGATCTTGAAGATTAAGGTAAGGTTCTCAGAAGAAGCTCTTTGAGAGTCAAAGTTCAAACATGAAATAGTTAAGTAAACACTTGTGTAGGAGAAACAGTATTTTTCAATAATTTAGAGTGAAACAGACTGAAAATGCATAATGTCCACAAACCCTCATGTATCTAACAGCTCAAATCAAAACAGCTAAATATGCAATCAACCCAGGAAGCTATCAGCAAAGGACTGAATGAAGAACTCTGGTGTGTGCGTTCACAATGGAACTCAGTGGTAAAAAATGAAAGCCACTTTTTCGCAACAAAGTGAATGTAACTGGAAGCCACTATGCACAGTGAAATCAGCCAGCCCCACAAAGAGAATGATGGGGTTTGCCCTGTTTGTGATAACTAATACACAGAGCACAAAAGCTGCAATGTGAAAGATCCAAATGGACACTTTGAGATTTGATTGCTGTTTATATGCCTTGTCTACACTCTTGAGCAACAGTGCGTTTTCCATTTACAATGTGTTACTCAAGTGTGTGATGATAAACTTAACTGAAAAAGATGCATCATGAAAACTGAAAATAAGAAAAAGGAGGGGCTCAGGTGTGAGGGTGGTACAGTAGGGCCTTCAACTTGTAACCCTGAAAAAAGTTGTTCATTTTACATAATTTTTTTTAAAGTAGAAAAAATGCAACTGTGGGACAGAGACATCTGTAGATAAGACAGTGGGGAAATGCATCAGGCGGGATGTGGCAGGGGCCGATGAGACTAAAAGCAGAGCTGTAGTATCAAATCTGCTGGCTTCCTCCATGGATAGTACTGCCTACAGAATACTCCACATGAACTCCACAGCCACCAAGCCTCCCAACATCGGGAGTGGGAGCCCACACGATACTCCGAACGGGAGAAACACTTAAATAGGAGTTAACTATTTAGTTACATGAACTTCTGAATCGATACTAGGGAAATAACTGGTAGTAGAAAGCGAAATACTTTACAGAAACTCAAATCTGAGATAGTCTATGCAAAATTAATACAATTGTGCTTTCTTTCTCTAACTGCTCCAGTTAGGATCAAAATAAAACCCATAGATTTGTACTTGATTGGAATGTAAGTGCTGTGGAAACTGAAGTGACATCTTTCAGAACCTCATCCTGCCAAAGTTTATCAAAGCTGCTCATACAGAACACCAGCATCCATCTGCATGAATCATAGTATACATCCACATGAATTATGCTTGGATTCAAATCACTATCGATCCATGGTACCATATAAACAACCAATAAATGGAGGCAAAATGGCTCAATTGGGTTCCTGTCAAGCGTTTGCATACTCTATGTTAGCCTAGAGATAAAAGAGGGTGATGAGTGGGGCCTGATGGTCATGACTCGAGCAGCTCGTTTTCTGATTTATTGCATTCTGCAGGTTTAGCATAAGGCAGTCAAGGGAGTGTGGGAAATTCTGATGGCTGTGATAGGTGGACACCGGCCATGTAATTTACAGTCGAATGTCACTTTTGAAATTACCAAGGATAATTAATGCCGCACCTTTTAGCACCTAAAGGATACTGACTCAAGTCCAAAAATAAGCAGTATCTCTCTTTAATAGCAAAGGTATGCCAATTGCTTCCACATTCAAGACATATGTATCCTGCATTAACAACAGTAAACTTTACGGTATGTGCCAAATGCTGTAAATAACTTTGAATTGTAAATCAACATTAATTGTCAAGGAAAGGGACAGATACACTGTTACTTACAACTCTGTGACATCTCTCGGGATGCCTTTCGGCAGGATCTTCAAGCCCTTGTTGCTACATCGAACTACGGTATCCAGGCAGGTGCACTCAGTAGGACAGCGATAAAGCGGGGAACAACTGTTATCATCATTTCCTGAATTTCCAGAAAAAACAGAGAAAGAAACCATTTTTTTTGCGTGTTTTCAAATATACTGGAAAGGATTTTAGGGCTTGAAAATGATTTTACAAATACAAGAGGCTCGAGTCCCATAGTCACTAATGTAGAGCACTGAGTATTAACAGTCTGATATCAGACATTGCATACACCACTGTCTTCAGACTGCATGGGATAGAATTCCAGAAAATACTTTAAAATTTATATTACTGTATCATCAACACACTCTTTGTTTAGTTATTTACACAGAATATATTTTTAATTAGGAAGATACCTAAACACAATTTGGGGATGTAAAGAGATACAGTGAGGCAGATCAACACAAAATGTTGAGCAAAAATTGCACAGGCCCCTCATTTTAAAATACAGAGCTCAAAATTGGTCTCCATTCTCTGAAAAGAACAGAACTTACTCTACACACGTGATAGGGCCATTATGAGAACACAAGGCAGTGATAATGGAGCGAGCATTACTATGTGAAAACTATTGTTTGTCAGAATTACTAGAACGTGTGTTTTATACGTCAATTGCTTTCCTCACTTGGAAGTGGTAGTAACTAAAAGACATGTCTAGAAAACAAAGAAAAGTTAAAATGAAGCTATACAGTCAGCACTATTTCACGGGAAAATCTCACACACTCAGAAACAAGTGTCAAGTGTAACAGGTCAGTCTAAGAAATCAAGTATCCTATGTCAAAGGAAAAGAAAATGAGTAAAGCAAAACAAATTGTAAACAAATCACTGAGGATGTGCTTCCATTCACCTGCACAAAGGCACCACAGCAGTCAAGCAGAGCAAGGCAGAGCTGTGGCCACTGTGCGTCTCTTACCATCATCACACGTGAAGTCCTGAATGGCCACGTCCTGGATGGGGATCTCTTTGAGGAAGTACGGTTTTTGGCAGCGAGGGTTCCCTGTGACGATCCTTTTTCTCCGGAGCCACTCTCCCAGCCACGCCAGGTAGCAGTTACAGTTAAAAGGATTGGCCAAGAGGTTTCTAAGTGTCACATGCAAACACAGTGCAGTTTAGTGTTTGGCTTTCAGACTCTTCGAGATCCCAGAATACTATCTTTAGACACCATTTCTGTCCGAGTGATTCCTACTTTTTATTTGAACTCCCAAGCCCTTTCTTACGCCTCTATTTTGCTAAAACATGTGTGCTAAGCAAAAACAATAGCAACATTTTCACATCAGAGAATTGTTGAAATAATTGTATGCAAAAATTAAGTGAAGGCAAAAATTTAGGGCTTACGCAATGAATCTAGATAGGCATCTCATTTAGAAATAAATTTGTCAGAAATCTCACTTGCTGTCAAACTTCCCTGCACTGATAATGCAGTAATTTAATATAAAGATGAAGGCTGATTACCTTGTATTATTGAGTTTAACCTGACAACAGCTATTTTATTAATTTGTCATCTCAAGATTTCCATCTCTTATTTGCTCCAGAGAATAGGTTCCCCATCTCAACTGACAGCTGAGTTGATTAAATGCCAGTTATAAAAATGAATTTACTCCGACAAATCTCAATACTTTTGGCATCTTACCACTTCAGCACAAACCTATTGACAACCCCATTATTTATAAACATGCCATCTTTAATATGCACAAATTAGTCACTCAATGTAAAATGTCACATCTTATGTGGAAAGAGGATTAAGTACTTAAATGATGGATGAATGGCTCCCTTATAATGTTTCTTCACTGACTTGAGCTATGTTAAACATGCTCCTTATTCGCCCTGTCGTTACTCTGTTCTCTTGACTTATATTATTACGTTAGGATGTTACCATCACCAAAAAATCATGTTCACAAGATTAATAATTTCCAACATTGCCTTTTACAGGAGACGTGAACTATTGTTTGCAAGTGTATTTTTTTTTAACGCTGAGTTTTGTCGATAAACCTACAGTCTGTTTTCCAACTGTCTACATAAAATATCCTCTTGGACAGGCTCAATCTATTTCTTCAATATTTTCCTAATATCACAGTAAATGCCCTCCAGTGCACAGCTTTGATCGTTGCTCCGGTCATTTTTACGTATCTCCTGTCACTGTGAATGAGTCTTCTGAGCACAGTTTGCTGGCAATAACCCTATTCATTCTGCTTTTACGATACCCACACCAAAAAGACTCCAATGTGAAAATCCTGGGGAAAAAAAATCTATATTTCACGTGTGGTATCACCAAGTGATGACAGTTTTAAAATTGAGAAATTAAGCTATATTATTTGACTACATTACCATAAAAATAACTAAGAATCACTGAGTTTTTGCTAAAATTTCATGATAGTAGTTAATACTTTGAGAAAAATTAAAGGATATAGCTTGAACCAACTTTTTTTTTCAAAATATCTACATCCCTGATCACATTTTTATGAAATGCCAAAAACTGAATTAAAATAGTATTGACAAGCACTGCAAAGATAATACATTGGCTCAAGTAAGGCATAAAGATTATATAATCTTTATACTTACAGAGTTGATAAAGAATGGAGGGTATCAAATGCCCCTGGTGCAATTGTAGTGATTTGATTATCATATAAAGAAAGCAAACGCACAGAACCGAGTCCTATAAAACTGTCATTTCCAACACAGCTTATTCGGTTACTTCTCAGCATCCTAAAAAAAGAAGATATTTTGTTACGGAAATAAAACCTCCACCAATCAATTCCGCCTTCTTTAGGATCAAAATAATTCATCCCTCTTTGCAACTATATAGAACTCATTGCTCTTTTTCTGTAATGTCCTCTTGCCACTAGAAACCGGTGTGGATACATACTGAGAACATTCTGTAAGAATAAAACACACAGAGTCAAAGATTGACTCAGTTACAAAAGGCATGATGAACCTCCACGTGGATTTACAATCAGATGGCGGGTACAGAAGGTTGCCTTTGGATGCTCTGCATATTTGTGTGATTACATCATGATGTAGCTCACCTCCAGTTTCCTGAGTCCTTGAAGCCTGTGCTTTGTGGATGCAGAGTAGTGTGGCATTTGATTCGAAAAGAAAGGATCAACAGTCACCACAGACGGAGGGCTCAGTTCATCTTAGGGACTCAGATATGGAGTCGATGTGGAAAGGAGTGACGAGAGCTGAATTTGACTGAGTACCCACAAGCCTTACACAATCTATTTTATTGATACAAACTAGTTCACTATTCTAAGTTATAATTTCAAAAGAAAGAACAGACACAAATTTCCAGCTTACTACCCCAAAGGTGAAATCAGTTTACCTTGGAAAGATTGCTGTAAATCATCACTACCCAAAGAGTCCAAAGTGTTCCCATTTCATCAACACTGTTCAAATTTAGACCCGATTTTCAATTTTTGCTCCTTATATGTGAAACTTAGCAGTAGAACGAAGACTTCCCCAAAATCTCATTTAGAAATGAATGGTTGTTATAAATTAAATCAAAACTTCCTAATTTATTTCTTATTTTTAAAAATAAGGTTTGACTAACCTACAAGTAAAGACTTCAGAGAGGCAAAATGAAATGAGCACTAGGATTTAAAATTATAGTTTGTCTTATTAATAAATAGGAAAAAAATTTTAATTTTGCTGAGTCACATAAGAAGAAATGGTTGCTCCTTTATCAAGATAGTACTTTACTTTAGGAAATAAATACTCAACAGAACAAAAATATTCCTACTAGCATTCCCCTTTGCAATAAGTATTAACATAAGTAATAAAGTGAGACCACCCAGGCCTGCTGAGGTCTTGGCCACACCTTCAGGTGGGCAGCACCAGCACTGTCCACCCTCTTTGTAACTAATTAAGAGACCACCAATGGGGAACATCTCACCTATAGGTTCCCCGCCCAACAAGGAGGGGTCAGGGAATGCTTAAAACCCCAAGAGCCTTTCTCAAACCTTCGGTGTCTCTCTCTCCCTCCTCTTGCGAGAGGCACCCCACCTCCCCGCTTCTTGTCCGGAGGTGCTTTCCCTTCCCTCTCCTTTCCCTGCTCCCTGGTCCCTTCGCAAATAAACTTTTCTGTTTGTAACAGATTCCCGGCTTTTTATTTCTATACTAAGCTGAGGAAAGAACCCACTGGGCACTTCTGGTAACATAAAGGGTGCCGGGTTTCAATTCTGCATTCATGGACTCCTGGGAGGAACTGAAGAAAACTTTGTTCTCTGTTGCTGGAAACATATCACCCACAGGCACTGACCTTTGCTGCAGTCTCAGGGGTTTCCTAAAAGACTTTTCAAAATCAACCCATGTACTACTAAGTAACCTTCAAATTCTAAATGGTCAAGAAGTCTGGGAGGGCACAGCAATTTGCTGTCAAAATCTTCTTAGTGGGTCCAGTGTGGTAGCCTAGCCACTAATGTCCTCGTCTTGCATGTGCCAGGATCCCATATGGATGACAGTTCTAATCATGGTGGCCCTGCTTCCCATCCAGCTCCCTGCTTGTGGCCTAGGAAAGCAGTGGAGGATTGCCAAAGCCTTGGAACCCTGCACCAGCGTGGAAGACCCAGAAGAGGCTCCGGGATCCAGGCTTTGGATTGGTGCAGCTCCGGCCGTTGCAACCACTTGGGGAATGAATTAACAAATGGAAGATCTTCCTCTCTGTCTCTCCTCCTCTGCATATCTGACTTTCTTATGAAAATAAAATGAATCTTTTTAAAAAAATCTTCTTAATGCCTTGCTCAAGATAGCATGTGAAAGAACAGTGTTGTCCTGGTACATCTGCTCTAGAACTCTGAATGTTCTGAGCATGGCTCTCACCTGCTCTAGTATGCTTGTTGAACTATTGCTGGACTAAGCTTGTGGGTGCCTGTCCCAGGTACTTAAACATAAGTGGCAAGAAAGTTTCCCTGAAAAGATGTGGAAGAAAAAAGTAGGGTGTAGAGAATTCTTAGGGAGAGGCCCTTGAGTACAATTAATGTAAAGAATTGTGTTTTATGATAACAACCTAGGGGTAGTGTTAACACAGAGTTGTGTCTCCCTTAAATTCATACACTGACACTCCAATGCCAAATGCACTGTATTAGGAGAGAAGGCTGTGGGTGGAGTGATGGAGGCTAGGTGTGGTCACAGAGTGCGGCCCCGATCTGATGCTGTTTTCACAAAGAAAGGGAGAGACACTGAAGAGATCCTTTGCATGAGCTCTCAGAGGAGGAACGCACGACTCAACAGAAGTCACCCACTTAACACCTTGTACTAGCCTGTGATACAGAATTCTGTCGTTTAAACTAAGTGGCTTATGGCACCTTCTTTTTTTAAGATTCATTTAATTAATTTATTTATTTTAGAAAGGCAGATAAACAGAGATAAGGAGAAAAACATCCTCCCCTAGTGGCTGCAGCTGCTGGCGCTGAATCGATCCAAAAGCCAGGAGCCAGGAGCTACTTCTGGATCTCCCATGCAATGAGTGCAGGGTCCCAAGGTTTTGTGCCATCCTTGACTGCTTTCCTAGGCCCCAGGCTGGGAGCCAGATGGGAAGAGAAACAGCCGGAATACAAACTGGCACCAATATGGGATTGCAATGGATGCACGGCAAGGATTTAGTCACTAGGCTATTACACCTATTACACCTCCTGTTATGTTCTTATGGCAGTTCGAGTACACTAATACAGGTGTGGTCACAGCCTGCTCCTTTACTCCCATTAAACAGCACCACCATGAAAATGCGAAGGTTCCAGTAGTAGGTCGTGGCCCCTTGACCACTCACTATGAAGACAGGCGTTTACTTCACGCAAGGTATGTGCGCTGCTCTTTGCTGAAAGATCTCAGGGACAAGTCAGACACAGTCACACAGTACATTCTCTCTCCATACTCCTCCTCAGCATCTCTACCATTAAAGAGCTGAGAGAATATTTTCATATCACATTGTCACATGTCAGTGCTTGAGAAGGGTCACCAGGTCTCCGCTTGGTCCTGCTGGGTGGTTAGGTTCAGATTGCCCATGAACACATTTGGACTCTTAGGTCAGGGTTGGCTTGGGATGGATTTGAACTTGGGATGCTATTCACACTGCCACTGGTTGTAGGAATTCCTTTCTGCCACAGCAAATGATAAAGGCAACGCAACAGATGACCTCAACTACCAGCCTCTTGGTTGTATATTTTTCTCAATGTTTAGGGGAGACAAGCACACCAAACTTGGCCACATCGCAATAGCAATTTTATCTCTCATACATGTATCTTTCTTTAAATATGCCAGGGAATTCAGTTTGGTTTGTCTCTCTTCTAATATAGTGGTCACCATCTTGTCAAACATAATGATATATTCTAGTAACAACCAAAGTGCTTGTTGTGGCTGTTCTGTCCAACCCCTGCCTTCCGTAGCTAAGATCTCTCTTTTCCAGTCTCCCGACCTTTGAGCAGGCAGGTAAAACTTGCAGCATTCTTTTTGAAGGAGACAGTAATAAGCCAGTGGCAGTCTCTCCTGTGCTGAGATCTTAACTGGGTAGGCAAAGCAAATCCCAGACAAACTGGTAATTTCCTCTGCCATGGAGCAGAGTAGATGCCAAGAGGAGTATCCCATGGAGGTGTTTGAACAAAGGAGAGAGGGTGGCCGTTGTGAGGCAGAACAGGGAAGCCACACCTGTAAAAGCACCTGTACCTTCATCTGGGAAGACAGGAGTCAGGAGGACTGCTCCAGTCACTGCTAACAGTATACTGAAGATGGATATTGTGGGCATTCACTACAGGTGTGTGTGTGCACACGCATGTGTGTGTGTGCGTGCATTTTATGGGGAGTAAGAAATATTCTTCCTCTTCGTCCCCCAGGATTATAATGAAGGATGAACTCCAACCTCTGGCCGAATGGCAACGGAGGGAAGAATACTCACAGTGTTTTGAGGCTTTCCAGCCCCTTGAACATCTTGTGATGCACGTTTTCCAGACGGTTACTGGTGAGAAGCATTTCATTGACACCAGATGCCCCTTCAAAGGCTCCCTCCTCGATATCTGTGATCTTATTGTTGCTGAAGTTGCTAAAAGTAAGTTGAAGCAAGAATTTTTTAAACAGTTTCTTTTTAATACTGAGGGGATTGAAACACGTTCATTCATTTCCTGTTGTTGAATTAAATCTCCTCTTGCTGCTTCTAACCTCCCAGCACTGCCCAGGCTCTGAAAGCACAGTTTCTCATTTACTCAAAGCAAAAGGACGACAATAAAGGAATACCCAAGGCAAAAAAATCAGGCCGCAAGGCTCCACAAGACAATAAATAGCCTGATCAAATTGAATTATTGTTCTCAAAATCTGGGGGAGGGGATGGGCAGGTTTTAGCTTATATAAAAGCTGATGCCCTCCACAAAATATAAGAAGTTTTTCAATGCAATGTCCTTGATTAAAACTGTCAAAATGAATGAATCAATAAAAGAAGTCACTGGAATAGAGAAGAATGGACTAAAATGTGTTAGCATTTAATTAATTTTTTATTTCTTTAAAAATTGATTTGAAAGATGAAGAGAGCAAGAGAGACAAAGAGAGAAAATGATATCACTCTTCCATCCGCTGATTTACTCCCCAAATGCATGCACTAGTTGGGACTGGGCAAAGCTGAAGCCAGGACCCAGAATTCTCATCTCAGTTTCCTATATTAGTGACTGGGACCAAGTACTTCAGCCATAATCTTAACGCTTCTCAGCATATGCATGAGCAGGAAGCCCCACTCAAATGGTGGCTTACCCCAACATACTACAGTCTCCTCCTCTTTCTTTTTGAGGAGGCAGGACTGGTAGGCTGGAAAGACAGAGACAGAAAGGGGGAGAAAAAGGAGATGAGAAAGGAAACCCTGCTCTTGGTTTACTTCCAAATAGCACAAGAGCTGGCACAGAGCCTGGTCAAAGCAAGAATCCAGGAATGCATGCTGGTCAATGTGAGTGGCAGGAACCAAATCACGTGAACCATCACTGTTGTCTTGCAAGTCTGCACTAGCAGAAAGTTGAGATCAGGCACCAAAGCCAGGTGTTGAACCCAGGGATCTTGATATGTGACTTGGGTATCTTAACTAGGTCAAGTATCTACCTCTGTGTTCGTATTTAGATGGACTGGAAAAGAATTTGAACATGTGTTTATTCAAAGGTCAAAATCTTACATGTTGATATGTAAAAACAAACACATTAACTATCAGTGTTGTGTATAATGCCCAATGCTATAGTGCTTGCGTAGAAGACAAGCATATCCAGTTGAGGTGGTGGTTCCCCACAGGCACTTTCATCCTGTTTTTCACTGTTCACTTCAAGCCCAGGAGGGATCCCGAAACCATAAATTCTATGCACATTTTAATTCCACTGAGAACATTACCCATAGTAACTGTTTTCTCTCTCTTTGCCTTACAGCATTTAGCATTAGGGGGAAAAAGGAGAGCAATTTAGACCTCAAAAATCCATTCCTAGGCATGAGACAGAGGTCAAGGGCACAGCAGCAGGTTCACCGTGCACTGCCACTCCCAGCGCTCCTCTGAGTTAGCACACGTGTGAACACAGATCTGTGAAAAGACCGCCTCCCTCTTCCGGATCACAACACATCGCGCGTGGAGTGCTCCGTCAGACTGACACTTGCAGCTGGCAGCGTGTCGATGCCGCTGCTGAGCTCGTGAACTTATTTTAAAGCATGAATTGTGGGCATATAACACAGATAAGCTATCAAGCCAGTTTACCAGTTGTTCATTTTGACTAACTTGTAATGAAAGTTTAATGAAGCAAAAAGCCAAGTAGTTGACATGAATATGCTTTAAGAGAAACAACAGTATGCTTTGGGGAATAGTGAAGAATTTTACAAAATATTACTGAATCCAATTCATTGTGCCTAACTTGCTGGATTCCCACTGTGGCCATGTAAGAGACCAGCTGTCTGCGATAAAGCAAAGGCCCAGACTCAGCTACAGAAAACGGGAGCTGGCACAGGCAAGCACCTCATAGACAAGCTCCTCTCAGTGCCACCGCTCATGTCACCAGGAGGCCCTGTGTGGGAATCTACTGGTATTGTTTATATACTTCAATTAAAAAAAACTAAATAAAATAAAAAAACTAAATAAAATAAAAAAACTAAAAAAAACTAAATAAAATTAAAAAAACCTATATAAAATAAAAGTATAAAAGAAGAGGCAAACAACTAGATACTAGAAAATTTAAAGATGACATTTGAAAAATGACTTACATTTTCCGTAACTGAGGAAGTTTTTTAAAGATTCCTGTAGCTTCCAAAACTGTGAATTCATTATTATTGAGACGCCTGGGACAAAGGAGGGACAAAGAATAGGAAGAAAACTTCATTACCAACAGTGAGAAAGGATTAAACTTCATTTATCACACACACATGAATATGTATCATGTTTGTCAATACATATAATATTAATGATAACTCTAAAATAAAATATAGCAGACCTATTGCAAAATATTTGTCAAAAGTACTGATAATTATCCCATTTTATTCAAATTTCAACTACCAACATAAAATACATTAGGAAACAGCATGGAATATCATACTGAAAAACAGCTCTTACTCAATAATATTCGATAATATTTAGAATAAAATTTCTCAACACTGATTACTATTAACCCAAGAAGCCTCATTCGACATGTGTTCCTTTTCGCTTGTTTTAGTACTTTTTTTTTTTTTACTTACAGTTTTACTGAATTCCCATACAATCCCCACCCTGTCATGCTCACCCATTTAAGCAATGAGTAATTTATGTCACAGTCATGGAAAGTGCCACCATCTCTGCTATCCACTCCAAAATATTTTCCCCACCCAAAAACAGAAACCCCCATAATCATTGCCAATTCCTCTCCCCGCCGCCAGCTCACACTTGGGAGCCTTGCACTTATCTTCTGTCTGTATTGATTTTTCTATTTTGGACAGTTCCTATGAACTGTGGCATTTCTCTGTGGCTTCTTTCCCTTTATACATATCATTGTTTCACTGTCTTAACTGAATCCTTTTCCCCCAAGTGGACACAACGAAGTATCAGTTGGGAGACCTTCTGTTACTTCCACTTTTTGCTAACTGTGAATTATGCTACTGAGAATGGGGGACACACATGTTTTTGTTTAGATAACTGCTTTCAATTTCAGGTGTGGAGAAAAATGTTTTCAAAAGGGCTATACCATTTTATACTCACTCAGCAAAGTATGAGAGTTGTAATTTTTCCCACTTGTAATTGTTTGTTTTTTTTTCCTATTCCACTGAATATGGAGAGATATCTCACTATGAATTTGACTTGGATTTCCCTAATGGTTAGCAATTATGAATATTATTTCATATGGTTAGAGGCCGTTTATGCAGACATAACTACGTCAGAGAAACATTCATACAGAACTGTAATCACTTATTAAATAGGTGACTTCTAACATTATTCCACTCTGACTTCTAAGATTATTCCAGATATTTTAGTACCAATTTCCTTTTCAGATATAAGTTTCACATTTCTTTCCAGTTCTGATATTTTTAAGTGTAACTGTATACAGTTTTGATTTCTTTAAGTACCTACATAACATTTGTGTAAGATGATATAATTTTTAAATTTTTTTTATTGGAAAGTAAGATTTACAGAGAAAGGGAGAGCCAGAGAGAAAGATCATATATCTGCTGATTCACTCCCCAAGTGGCCACAAAGGCTGCAGCTGAGCTGATCCAAAACCAGGAGCCAGGAGCTTCTTCCAGGTCTCCCACATGGTGCAGGGTCCTAAGGCTTTGGCCGTCCTGAACTGCTTTTCCAGGTCACAAGCAGGGAGCTGGATGGGAAGTGGGGCAGCTGGGATTAGCACCATCACTTGTATGGGATCCCAATGGACACAAGACAAGGACTTCAGCATCTAGGCTACTTTGCCAAGCCAAGATGATATTTTTATAGTAGTCAGAAATACCTTAAATCAAGGATTTTGTGACATGGTCTCCTTGCAACAATATGGAAGTTACTATTACATATCTTCATGAACAAGAGTAATGCATTACTAAGCACAAAGTAGTTTCTGTAAATTTTTTTAAAGCCACGACTTTATTTTTCATTATTGGAATTCCCTAAAATTCCTGAAGGAACAGGCATTAATGCAGGCTTGGTGGACGCAACCCTCAGCCAAAAGGACCATCATCTGCTGGAGGACTGAGGGGTTACAAGAGGCACACACTCTACCAAGCAGCAAATGAGAATTCCCAGATGGTATTGTGCATTAAGATGGGTAAGATGTTCAGAAAATGATGATATTGCACCAGTTTTTCTGTTGATCTCCTAGAAATACCACTAAATATCTTCCTTTAATAAAGTTAATAAAGCCAATGAGTACATGGGCATAGAATCTAGAAATGATTCCACATACCATTATCTTTGCACCTGCCATGCCCGAGGCCCTATGTCAGGGTTGTACATGTAACTTTGATCACACTGTGCCTTTTATGTCTTTTCTTGCTAGGGACATGTATTGTTCAGGAAAACAAGAATCCTGTATTTTGTACTTCAGTTATTGATCATCACGAATCCTTCCACACGTGAGGCATGGAAGCCGTTAAAGAGACAGAAAGACTCTAATTAGATTCATAATGAATTACATTCAAAGTGGTGACCTTCAGTCTTCTCTATTTGGTTATTTTAAGTATTAAATATGTTAAACCCAGACAGGACATTGTGGTGCAGTGGATTAATTCACCACTTGGTGTGTCTGCTTCCCATACCCGAGTTTCAGTGGAAGTCCCAGCTGCTCAGCTTTGGATCCAGTTCCATACTAACGCTATTGCAAAAGAATCTGATGCTGAATTAAGTATTTGATTTCTTGCCACCCATGTGGAAAACTCTGATGAATTCCTGGTTCCTGGTTTCCTGGCCTGGCTGCCGCAGCCTTTTACAAAATGAATCATTGGATGGTAAGGTATGTATGTGTGTCTGTTTGCTAGTCTGCCTTTCAAATAAGTCCAACAAATAAAGCTTTTTTAGCTAATATGCTAAAATATATGAAGTGTTTTAGAAATGGTTTTGGCATAAATGGTATCCAGTAAATACATATCAAATAAATGCCACTATTAGCATGAATTTCATCCTGCAGGCTGTGAATTAAATCAATCTTGCATCTTTGTATAAAAATACAGACAAAGGTGCCACGCAATATGTTCTTCCCTGTACAAAGAAGAGTTAGGCCAATGTAATTTGCACTCATTAGAATTAATACATTGAGATTAAAGATGACAGGTCACAATTCCTATGCTGTCACGGTTTCAGTCCTTCCCCATCCAGCAGGATTCTGTTAGGGAGAGCTTACAGTTCTGCAGTGTACTGGGGAATGTGCTCTGGGATTTTGTTGAGTTTTTGATTGGAGCAGTCTACTGTGGTCCCTTCACAGCGGCACTTTTCAGGGCAGGCCAAGTCTGCAAAGCAGTCTCCACTTAGTTTTGACCGGTAATCTTCTGTACCTATTGAGGATTCAAGCCAAAAACAGAGTTGAATCTGAAGGTTTGAATAGTTAACATCTCATAGGAAGAAAAACATAAGATACCTAGAGATTATGCAGTAGGGAGACAACTTAGGGGATTTTTGGTCAACGGATGTCAGGAGAGGGTTAACAGAAAGACTTGGAATTTTCTGGAAAAAAAGAGTGGCCAGATTCACACGACAGGAAAACATTAACAAAGTTGAGCTTTTCACAGCTGTACTTTCTGCTGATCCAGTTCTGAGCCAAGCTAGCCTGGTTCACAGCTAATCACACAATGGCTATTAATAATTAAAAACTTTAGTTTTTTCTTTTTTCTCTGTGTCAAGAATTGCAACGGTATCCAGTAAATAAATATATTCCTGTATTGTTATTATAAATTAGGGCTTTCAAGGCAAATAGATCATACTCAAATTTTCAATTTTTTTTTGTGTGTGTGGACTTCTATTATTCTCTCCCTCTCACATAATCTTCCAAAATGCCTAAAATAAAGCCCTCTTTTTTTCATTTTGATTTTATAAAGAGACAAGTAAATCCTGATTTAAGCCTCAGCAGCTTGTCATGCTGTAGAAAGCTGCGTGACGTTCCATGGTGCTTGACGGAACCATGTTTTACTCATTCCTCACAACCACATGGTTAGATCAAGCACAACAGAAAATCTCGCTACATTGTCACTACACCAACCACGAGGGCCAAAGGTAAGACCAAGAGGAAAGATGAAAGGAGGTGGGAAAAAAAGCTACAGACGTTCTGGAAACGCAATACTGTTTACATGACATGCATCCTTCCCGCAGAACGTTTACGACCCTTGTATTACTACTGAAGATTTCCTGGAAACGCAAAGAGGGGCTATACTGAAAGGTGCCACCATCGCTCCTCAGAACTGCAGAGTGGAAACAACAGCTTTCGGGAACAACATCCAGGAAGAAGTCGAAGGTGAGCTACGAGGACAACAAAGAAGCTCAAAAGGTCTGTGGTTTCTCCTTGATTTAAAAAAAAAAAAAGTGCAAAGACCAAGACTAAAAGAAGATACATAAGGATTTAAACAGGAGGATTTTTTTGTTTGTTTCAGAACAGACATTTTTACTTACAGCCAAAATGGTGAATTCCTGCAAAAGTAAAATTACCAAGAAGGAAAGAAAGACAGAGTGATCCCAATTTAGCTTAATATACATATACATCAAACTAAGTTCCCTTTCTGTACTCTGCAATTATAGGAGAACAGCATGATATGATGCAAACTGTCATGTTTTGCAAAAAAATTTATAATAATTTTTTGAGACATGATCATGTTACTAGAAAAGCAATGGCATAAAAGACGCATGGTACAAATTAACTTCTTGTCGATTTCTTTGAAAGATGAACTCTCTGCAAGACAGATTTTCTTTTGAGTTATCACTGCAATATTCAGAATGCCATACGGAACAGGAGAAGGCAAGCGCACTTGTAAGCGTGAATGAAAAACTCATCATAGGGATTGCCAAGGAATATAATGACCACATTAGGATTAATCTTTAGTTGTGGCATACAAGCTTTTTAATGGTCTTTCCAACTTATAAATAATGTCACTTAGTGGAAATGAAATTAGAATCCCATAAGAAGTTTGTGAGGCTGAATATAATAGTTTCATCATGCTTGGCAGTCAACACAATGGTATTGATTGAGGATCTGTTTGATTCAGGCTTATGCCTTACTTCAAAGTGAAATAAAGGTAGCCTGGTAACAGGGCATGAGTCATAGACACATTGTTTTCCATTTCAAATTATTTTTATGTAATGCTAGTAATGTTTACTTTATGGTAGTTCCTTTGGTACAGGCTCAAATTTTAATTATGATACTGGAATGAGTATATATTTAAAGACTCCAGGAATCCTGTTGCATTCAGGTTTTGACAGTCATTCTTTTAAATAATGTCAATTGAATGATAAGGGATTAAGACATGGCACTTTATACTGATACCTTCTAAAATCTATTTTGGTTTTGATTTTAAGAGTGGAAAACCATGTTAGAAGCTATGAGAAAAATCTACTTTTTGCTCTTCATTTGGTGAATTGGAGGTATTCAGAATTGCTAGTAATGAATACTTAAATGGAATAGTTGCAATAATTTTGTCCGGGTTGCATTAATAAAATAATTTTACTTAAATAAAACCAATGTTACTCTGTATGTGAGCAGAGGTACTCCTCTTTAGACTATTGGTTTTTTTTTCACTGAAGAAAAACCAGTCAGGTGATTTCCCATTTAATTGTTTAATAGAATAGTACTAACAAAAGTCAATGATTGTGCTTCTCAAGATTCTATTGTTAGTCAGCTACTATATTATATGACATACCAATAATTATTCAAGCACTATAGCTAAAAATTTATAACTAACATGATCCAAATTATAGTTCAATAAATTGATGAGCAATAAATCTATCCTTAAAACAAGACCAAACCCAAAACTCTTCTTCAGTACATAAGCATGGTCCCACACACTAACACTGTAGGAATTTATGGTTATTTTAAAAATGAAAAAACATATTACAATATAGAAAATACCCAAGAGATGGTGAGTGCAGTCAATCAATATTAAACATTTTACATAATGATTTAAAAGTCAAGTCAAGAAGCATTTTTCACAACCGGCAAGCAAGGAGAAAATAAGTAAAGACATATTTTAAAGAGCTAGCTCTAGAATCATCAGTCACGATACTGTCAAGATTGAAATGGCAAAACAGTGTCACTGTCTTAGGAACATTTTATTCATCTGCTTGAGTAACTTCAGGTAGGAAGTCTGCATGAACTTCCAAAGGTTTCCGGATAGACACCAGTTGCCCTTCTGCGGAGGTATGCAACACTCCTCATAAGGCAACAATGCGCAGTCACAGACACAGAGCGACTGGACACAAATCTTTAGAAAGCTACTGTTTTCAACAAAGAGTGAGGTGGAAGAATTAAGGTAAACTCAAACAATTAAGCCTCATGAATGAAAATGCAATTCTGTACTTATCACTGATGTCATGTAGAACCAGCTCTTTGATAACATAAAGGTGTCTGTCTTTAAAACCAGCTCAGTAAGCTATATTTTAAAAACAGGTTGACAGATCAGATATACAGTGTAAGGGAAACGTGATTTAAGTAGAGAGGCATAAGTTCAAACATTTTGCTACTGTGAGAAATTTTAAACAATATGCAAAACTGAAAGGGAGAGGAAAAAAGGTGGGAGTTTAATAATACACGTTTAGCATCAGAAGCTGCATGCAAAGGTCAGTGTTTCAGGAAACAACGACAAGTGATCTATATTAATTTATCTACAGAGTATCCACTGGACTTTCAAAGGCATGCATAGTCTTAGAAGCTGCAGTGTATAAGGTGAGGAAAGGATGTTTGCAGTTAGTCCTACCACCGAGCAAAACCTACCTGGAATGAAATACTGTTCTTTAGCTAAATAAAAAAGAGAAAAAAAAATAGAAGATGTACCTGAATGTCAGTAAGCAGAGATACGAATTATATTAGATTAAGAATGGACTAAAGTTATTATAAATAATTAAGTGAGTAATACATATTCACGGCAGTATCTGAAGTAAAATAATATATAGTGAATAGTAAATACATCTACAATCACAGACAATACCAACTTTGTCTTTATATTAGCTTTTTAGTATGATTTAACTACTGAATGCAAAATATGCCTAGAATATTTAGGTAGCATACTACCATGAGTGGGAAGGATGGATCATAAAAGAAACAAAATAATCAAGGTAAATGGTAAATTTTACTGATATAAGCTTTGCAGTTAATACAAAATATTAATTTTTCATTGAAAAATAGTTTCCAAATGACAAAAGATGACCCTTTGGGGGAAAAAGCATTGACATAATCCTACTCAAAATCAGGGAATGGCTAATGAAAAAGTGCATTTAGAGACGCAAGGAATTAGGAGGTTGCCCCATCCCTTCCTAGGTCTGAGAAAAAGCACATAAACAAATCTCAGCTCATTAGATGGCCCACGGACAAAGTACAACAAGCACAAAATTTAGCAGACTTTAAGGGTACCCTGACTCAGCTAAATGGCCCTCATTTGACCATGAATAGGAACATAGGCTGCAGTATCCATGCATCTTTAAAACTGGCCAACAGCCCCTTTCAACTGTTGGATCTAGTGTTCAAAGCAATACATGTGGAAGTGGTCTGGGAGAGGCATTTGCCATTCTCTTTCTGGTCAGGGAAAATAAAAACATGATTTTACAATGTCGAAAAATCAGGGCAAAGTCAGCTGGTTTTGCTAGATCTCATGTAGCCACTGTTATTGGTCACAGAGGAAATGTCATAAGAAATAAGAAATTACCTGAACAACGGAATTTCTTGCTTTTGATCTGTCCGATTCTTTTGTTCGCCAGACGGCGGGGGCTGGTGCAGCGGGCACCACTGGTCTCAATCGGGTTGGTATGGAGATAATCCGCCAGCCACTTCAGATGGCAGTCACAAATGAAGGGGTTCTGGGCCAAATGCCTTTCAGAAACACACAAAACTGTTTTGTACATGACTTGCAATGCACTCAACTCTTGCATTCAGAGTGAAAACAACGGTCATCCAGCTTGACCCAAATCATATATACATACATAGTTTGAATGGCCCGGAGAGGAGAAAAGGTCCCCTTGGCGATGGTCTGAAGCTTGTTGTCATACAAGGAGAGAAGGTTCAAGTTGTGGAGATCCTGAAAAGCATCTACCCGAAGGCAGTTTATCTTGTTGGCATTCAATAATCTGTTTGATCAAATAGTTGTAGAATTAACGTGCAGCATCTCATTAACTCACCTGCAAGATTTTGTCCTTCTTGAGAAAAGCCCATCAAGAAATCAACATTTTTAAACCTCTAAATTAAAATTATAAGTTGAACCATTTAGGTACTGCAGACTGGAGACTTGGGGTTTGCCAGATAAAGCAAGGCTCTCAAAGTAAAATTAACTTAAATCCAGTATGACTTTATATTTATCTGAAAGAAACAATTACACGTTTTCTGTAGAAGCTACAGAGGCAGAACAGTGGAGTGGTGGGGGCAGACTCATCTGGTAAGGGAACCCTAAAAATATTAGGTCCTCTATGTTCTGTGAAAATGAAGTTTGATTTTTTTTTTCCAGAACAGCAGCTAGAATGATTCTTGTAAAACACAGAACCGAACATATTTGTTCTCATCCATTTTGGATGCAACTGTTCATGGCTGGCTCTGAGCCAGAGCCTCGGTCCACCAGCCAACAGGATGTATCACTCGCTCTCTGAACTCGGCGACCTTCTAGATGTCTCTGCTGGGTGAGGTGGCCCAGTGACAGAAGTTATCTCATTTTCCCAACCCATCAGTATGGCATTCTCTTCCTGGAGTTTTCTTCTAGATATTCACTGGGCTGTCATTCACTTTGCTTCCGGAACTCTGTTCACATCTCCCCTCAATCCAGCCTGTCTGATCACTAACATAAATATTTGCAATCTGTCCGTGCCTCGTCTGACTTTCAGCATCCTCCCTTCCCTCCTATCCCCTTCTTGTATTTCCTACTGGACATGTTATATCTAGTGGACTCATTCTCATGCTAGTGCTGACCATCATGTCCATGATTCTCTTTCCCCAGAATATCAGGGCTCTTTGCCTGTTGTGATTTCTGATAATTTCCTTTTATCTTGTATATAACAGGTGCTCAGCAGACACATGATTTTACAGGAATTCTTTCTAAACCTCACGGCTAATGCCAGGTGATATTATTAATCTCCCTAGTCCTACATTATAAATATGTTTCAGCATACTATCCCACAAGCCTTTTATTTCAGCAAACATCCTTCTTGTGAGTTAAATGAGACTGTGTCTGGGTTTTTATTCATGATGCACAATCTTCCCAGGTGAGAACTCTCACTCAGCTAAAATTGTCCTCTTCTGGATTCGTGATGGCATTATTCAGTGTAAGAGTTGTGTCACCTAGTTTGCAGAGGTCTACAGTATAAGCGCAGCTGGGGTCAGGCAGGGTACATTACGATATTACGATATCCCTATCCTCTATCATACCTCTGTGCTCAGAAATGGATCGGTAACGAACATCTAGTAGTTTAAAGCACATGTTGTGTATGTTTGGGAATGCCTCATTATCTAACACACTAAGAAACGGGTCTTTGGAGAGCAACCACACACATCTCTGCCTTCAGTGAACATGATTTACCATGTTTCTATTTTTCTGGCTTCTTTAGCTACTCCAGGCACATTCACACCTATGATTTCTTCCTGGTGACCTCCAGTGCTGTGCTCTGGGGTCAGGAGTTGCTGCTCCTGTCTCCTCTGTGCTGTATTTCATATTTCCTTAAAAGTTTTTGAGGCATCATTTGAGACAGATCGCAGGCAGAATGCCAACACTCCTCTTGACAGTACTCGAAAAGGTTTTATGACAATTCCCAAGAACTGTATTTTCAAGTAAGTACCGATCACCACAGGCAACTCCATGAGACCAATGTCTTCCAATTCATTAAACTGTAACATTCGAGGGTTAACTTTTCTGACACCTCCATGAAAACATAAATGGCAAACTGACTAGAATATAATAATCAGCTCAATAGACCCCAAAACAATCAAATACTTACAGTAGCTGTAAGGAAAATAGTCCTTCAAATAAACCTTTTGGGAGTTCTGTAATTTTATTTCCATACAGGACACTGAAAAAAAAGTTCCAAATGAACATATGAGACACTAAATCAATGTAACAGATCTATATAATACATACGCATTCGTGTATTAAGTGTGTTAGTAGGTATTGAGTATATCATAAAAGTGTAACTGGGTAACAAAGGTCAATTAATAATAAAACAGAGAGAGATTAATCGAATTCACAAAAACCATGAGTTTCTTGCCCTTTACTAGATATTTTCCCTATTAAGTTGGCATGTTTTAATACATAGACATATGCACAAATGGTTCACATATGATGAGATTATACATGATAACCAAGACAAACTCTAAATGTAGACTCCATTACTTATTAAAAGGATGAATTTAGCTTTTTAATATTGAAAGAGTGAGAGGAATCCATCAAAAGGTAAAGCGTTTCTTTTAAACATAATGTGACAGCTGAGAAATGAAAGATGTGTGAAGGGAATGGTTCTAAGTATGAATTTAGAATTTTTGGCATTCACATTTTCACCAAAACGTAGAACTACAAAAATCATCACGGAACCCATCTCTGATGAGGCACAAACCACTCTGGTCTGACTAGTACATGCCATATATTTTAGCATACAATGAGACTGTTACACTGGCTTTATGAGTGACAAGATGATAACAAATAGAGAATAAATTTTAAAAATTACGCTGAAGGATTTCCCAAAGTATAGCCAGAAGAATGTAAATGGCTGGCTTAGCATGCTGCTATTCACAATAGATTTTTACACCCCCTCCTTTTTTTTTTTTAAGTCCTCAGAAAAAGCTGCGAGAATTACACGCAGAAAATAGTTGATATTTCATGGGCAAATTTTGGCAGCATTTGTGAGAAGTCACAAAATGTTCACAAATATTTCAATACTAGTTCTAGTCAAAGGAACTCAACTGAAGAAATAGTCAAGGTCTGGATGGTGGAAAATGCAAGCTAAGGCTCTGCCTACAGCCCTGACATCGCATGTGGGAGACCCAGGGGAGGCTCCTGATTCCTGCTTCCTCGCTTCTGACTGGCCCAACTCTGGCCGTCGTGGTCATTTGGGGGGTGAGCCAGCAGATGAAGATCTCTCTTGTTCGCTCACTCTCTCTGTCTCTCTGTTACTCCTCTCTTTATAAATTTGTTTTTCCCATAAAGTAAACCCTAAAGGTTAAAAAAAGAAGAAGAAGAAAAAGAATCAGAGGGGCTGATGTTGTGATGTAGTGGGTATAACCCCCGCCTGTGGCATCAGCATCCAATACGGATACCCGCTGGAGTCCAAGCTGACCCTCTGCCCACCCAGCTCCTTGTTCACGCACTGGCAAGTAGCAGAGGATGGCAAAAGTGCTTGGTTCCTGAGCATTGATTAAAATAAAATTGTAATGATATCTAATGACACAGACAAAACTTTAAGACAAAGTAACTATGTTAATATGCCAACTCTGCCTAGAAAAAAATAAATGAAAAAAAAAAGAAAATATCTAGATGGTGGTTGATTTGCTACTCACAGATGATTTGTGTTTGATAGTATACATTTTTCTATACTTTGAATGATCTGCAACAAGTATATTACTTTAAGAAATCAGGCTCATTCATTTTGGAAACAAATCATGGTATGTAAAGAAGAAAGCTGAAATGAGAATCTAAATAATTAATATGTGTTGCAGTAGAACACGCTATTTGAAAAGCAAGAAAATAGCAATGCAATTGAGAAGAGCAGAGCAGGAAAAACGCTGTTTCCTTTTTGAGGTGTTGCAGACAGATGGGAAATAGTGTATCATATGAAGAAAATCCTCCAGGGAATAAATAAAACTGGGAGTTATACTGTGCATAGAGGCATCCCACTGGTATAGATCCTAGTAACACGGCTACATGGTATAATAACAAATTTTGTTTGTAAGAAACACATTTTTTTTTTTTAAGAAAAGTGAATCAGTTAAAGAATCAATGCCTCCAAAATGAAGAACAAAAGACATACTTCTATATTGAGAGAGGCAAATTGGAAATCTCAAAAGCAGATGAATGGAAAATAACACAGGGATTCAAGAAAGGGGAAAACATGTTTGGGAGGCCAGAATGAGAGAAGAAAGATGACTACGACACACAAACAAACAAGCTAGTGTTAGTAGCCATGTTAGTAAAATTTATAAAATGGAATGTCTCTGTATACGATATTACACCTAATTTTATTTATTGCATTGAGAATTTTCTGTTGTTATACACCTGAACTCCTTCTGACTTCTTAAAAAGAGAACAGCTTTTCTCCTCAAGGTACTCAAGGTCACGAGCATTCAGTTAGCTCATTCAGCCACTTTGCTGGGTTCTAAGTGTGCTGCTCCGTTACTTTTCCCGTGTGCAGGGCACGGATGTGACTGAGATGCGAAAAGCGTGGCCTCCAACACCAATCAAAAAGGGTGATTCATATTGGAATTTTTTTGAGACTGATAAAGGAATAAAGATGTTTATAAATTATTGGGGAATTGCATAAAAGTAAATAAGTGGATTACTAAATAAGTTGTCCATTTGTGATGTTTTAAAGATTTGCTCTGAATATGAAAGTACTATATTTGTATAACAAAACCCATTGTCTTTTAAACTGTTACAAACAGATACATGTAATTTATAGTTAATAAGATAAGATGGATAAGTGGTGACAAAAGGATAAGGAAGTCATGCAAGAATGCAGGAACTCTTTCTGTGCAGGTTTTTATTGGTATAGGTTCCAACAATGACAGATACTGCAATAAAAGATACTAGATGTATGTAATGCTAAAATACTTATCAACAAAATGTATGCAAATTCTAAGAAGAATTTTTTTTTCACACTCAAATGAGTTCAGAAGAGCAGCAAGGAGAATGTTAAAAATATGAAAAAAATCCAAGGACAAGGGCAGAGATGTGGATGACAGCCAGGAAAGCAGAACAAAAATCTATAAAAATGAGTCAAAGATATTATATAATGTTATAAAGTGCAAGAAGCCCAGTGAGAATTTGTGCTATCCTCTTTTAGAGGGAAAAGCAATTTGTTTTTAATACTGGAAGATGAAAACAAATTCAGCTAGAAATAAAAAAAATGCATGAAGGTTTTGGAGAACATCAACCAAACACCAAAATTAACAAATTGCATAGTTTCTCTATGATATGTTTGTGCATAGCTTATTTTCAAGATAGGATATCAAGACATACAATTATACTGATAATTTTTTTACAGTCCATTGGAACTAGAGGCAAATTTTAAGGCAACTGTTATATCTGCTACTGGCAGGAGGATTAAGAATGCTGACCACAGAATACAATGTAGTATGCATTTCTACTTCCAGACAAAGAGGGACTTACAATGAAACTGTTTACTCTATCTTGACAATAGGATGCTGGACTCTCTGCCACTGTCCATGTCCGCAATGATGGACATATGATTGTATGAAGAACTATATTATAGTAATGATATAGAGGAACTAGGTATGTATGTGGGGGGGTGATTGGGGAGAGGATAAGGGAAATACCAGAAGCCTATGGAACTGTATCATAATAATAACAATAATAAAATATAAAATGTAAAACAAACAAACATCAAAGAATGCTAAACACAGTTAACTCTTCTGCCTTCAGCATTAGCAAAATCAGAGGCAGCAACCATGTGTGTCCAGACTGAAATCTCTTGGGCTTGCGTAAAGTTGGCAGAGATAGAACTCCTACCAAAGGGAAAAAAATAATCAACATAAGGAATTAATAGGATGGCCATCGTGAAAAAGTTGTTGTAGAGAGAGTCTATTTTTTCAATAAATGTCAAGACAGCCACACTCAAAAAATTCTTAAAAATAATGTATATTAGTTAAAATAATGTACATTAGTTAACTTAAGAAAGCACAGAAAAGAATGGGATGAAATGGAGATGTCATTCTTACTCTCTTTGAAAATGCCGAGTGAACTGTGACATACTAGACAGAGTAACTGTCAGCTCTGACAAAGTCTGCAGAGAATCTCAGCAAAATAAGGAACCTTTAGTGTAGGTGCCTGTGAGGTTTGTGAGATGGTTAATTGATCAGAGTAAGGGAATGGCAACAGTTTGCAAGAGGTAATGAAAAACAAAATCCTGTGCTGAGAATCGTGGGTGCAAACATTCTCGTGGGTGACTGAAATCCTGGAGTGAGCACTGCGTACTGCGAGGAGATTTCAGCCCCGCTAGCATCTCCTCTGTACCTAACGAAGCAAACACGGCCACTGTAATCGCATCCGTACTTTCAGAGATGAGATAACTGATACACAACAAAAATAGTACCTAGCTAGGTACATGGAAAATGCTAGAACCAGGATTTGAATTAAAAAAACTTTTGTTACTACTGTGATAGATAGTATCTAGCAACAATTATTCCTCTCTCCCGTATCTACCAGCCACCATAACAACAAAAATGTGCCAGGCACATAAGGCAGGTAACAATAATTCTCCATTTTCTTTTCTCAAAGATCTTTGCAGTATTCTGAAGGCACACCAACATAGCAACCAGAAGAGCTACATGCCCGCACAAGCACTGTAATCCAGTTCTCCCCTTGATAAGAGTGAAAATAATTGTTGTATCCACTTCAGCTGTTTATCTGGGTCTCACACATATATCTCGGCACTCTCACTGGATTTCCGTGGCTGCTGAAATTCCAAAGCCTGCAGTAACTGCCTGCAGTAAGAACTCTTTCCTAAGCACCTAGTCTTTAAAGCCATATGCATGCTGGTCTTCACTTCCAAACTTAGGAAAGTTGATACAGATGTTAATATGCTTGGTGAGAGGCTAAAGAACTTTTACAAGCTTGCAAAATCTTTGATAAATCAAAGTAGCTTTGATAAACCTACGTGAGACCAGCCTGAATCTGCATAGCCAACTCTTTGAAAGTCCTCTGCGCACCAAAAACTGTCGCACATTCATACATTAGGATCTATGTTCTTTGAGAGATGAAAGCTGTTTCTTTTCAGGGAAGCCATGAAGTGCAGAAGCACCAGTGGAGGGAGTCTCTCCTTGGCCAGTTCAACTTCCTCAGCAAGGCATCACCAGCCATCACAGTGGTTGAGATTGTCCCATCCACAGAAACTTACGGTCTTAGAGATGAGAAATACAGCCCTGGGCTCCAAAATAAACATTGTCCCTTAGTTTCAGAAAGAAACACAATGTTCAAAAAAAGAGCTCTTACTCTCGTTTTACTAAGAGCAGTATATAACAAACCAGAAAATTCCTATGCCAATAACTGGCTAATTTAAGTGGCAACAGTCTTCTACAAACATTTGGAATCATTAATGCTAATTAAAATAGTACTCATAATTTCCACACCATACATTTTTCCTTAACTTCAAGTTACAAGTGACAAGCCACTCCTTTTTCTCTGGCTCTCTCTGACCAATGTTGTCAACACTTACAGTGAATTCAGAGACCGGAGTCCTTGGAAAGCATCTGGCGCAAGTTCAGAGATCTGATTATTGCTCAGGTCACTAAGATCAAAAAAAGGGTTAGGTTAAATAAAACAGGACGCTGCTGAGGCGAGCTGCAGGCGTTTACCAGTCACTTGCTTCACCTACTGATACTTGTACTAAATTTTCAACATTTGAAGAATCCTAAAGTACTCTTCAAATTAATTATCAGCTAATTTCCAGAATTGTCATAAAAGATGCTGTGCCTTTGACAATAGTGCATATAAGAATTTGCACGACATAATGAGTACTGACACTCCTATTTGTGTCAACCTGCATGTAAAATCACAAAACTGTCCAAAATTAGCTGTTAAGACTGAAGTTTCAGTCTAGAACTAGCAATCAATATCTGTATCTGCTAAATATTAATTTTCTAGGCATAATTAGTTTTCTACGCATGGTCATATCCTATAGGATTTTGTAGTTACACATGCTTTATAACACTGTCACTCACATTCTGCGAAGTTTTTTGTATGGTGAGAAAGCTCCAGGAGGGATGACCTTGATTGAATTCTGTTCCAAACGTCTGAAATTGAGAAACAAAATCAATTTTTGAATGGAAGTGTTAGCTTTGAAGCAGACTGAATCCAAGATGAAAACTTGTGTCAGGAGGTCAATCTGACGCTGTTCAGAAATGGAACGTTCATTCTGCCTCAGAAATGACTACTGAAATTAATTCTCCTGTCCACAAAATGTGGAATCACATTTTGATAAAAATATTCTGATTTTTAAAATTATATTGATCCATTTAAGCCACAGTTCTGTGCCAAAAAACACTTTTAAGAAACTAGCTTGGGAGCACAGTATAATAATCAAAGTGCAAGAGCATTATATACTAACAATGAACACTTGTGTATAATATTACAGAGAAAATCATAACTCTTTTTCAAATTAAAATTACTGTTGAATATGATATAAACCTCTTTTTCCAGTTACATAAAGAACATCTTATGGTACAAAACACAATTACTACAATCTGAAAATTAATTTTGAGTTTCTTTGGAAGAAAAACTCCTATATTTACAAATATTATAGATATTTTCAATATAACAGTCAACAACGGTGATTCAATACGTGAATGTTTCCTTGTAAAACCAATGCAACAAAAAATATATTTGAGACATAACTGAGTGGTTTTTATGATATGTTAAAATTACGGAGTTGGAAATAACTCTGATATCATTTACTCTGTGGTCCTACTCTCAGAAAAAGTCTATTTTATGTAGCTAGTTATGAATGACAAAAGAGTAAGTTTTATGTCTTTTGGTAAATATTTTAGCTCATCAAAAATATTCAGCTTCATTGCTTTCCATACAAAGATCCTTAAAATATATACCCCTCCTTTTGTTCCTGGTATGTTCCACTCTGCACCCCCAGAGAAATAACTCCAGTGAACCACACTTCCCAGGGAGCTTCTGTGCAATTTGGCCAAGGAGAGGTGCCAGCAGGAAATGCAAGGACTAAGGGAGAGAAAACCAAGGCATTACTCCCCGTCTCTACCTGAACAGTGGTCCTCAGCAGTGATCTCAACTCCTTTCTTCTTTCCATTCCTGCTCGGGCCACCCCCTAACTTCAGATCACACCTCCTTTTGTAGCTTTGAGGCTGGTAGTGTATTTTCCTTTATGTTATCCTCTTAGAACCACTGAACTCACTCTCCACGTTAAACCTTTCTGAGATATTAATTGATATGAATTCAATCTTCTATCCTCATTTAAATATATACACACAAATACTCATACATAATCATACACAAACATATTAATTTATGTGTGTACTTTGCATGAATTATACACAGAATACATACATATGTTTGCTTATTCATATGTGTATAGTGCATAGCCATGTGTTCCTTAGCAATCACCTCTCACCCTCTTATCCAACAGCCAATGAGGTTCTTCAATCTTCGCTGTTCTTGAAGTCACAGTGACATTGATATTGCTAAAAAACCATCCATTCATGGCCTTCCCCATACACTTCTTTACTTCTGTATCTCCACTTTCTCACTTGCTAAACATAGCTTTACCTTTTAAGCCCCTACGTACATCTATCTACGCAACGTTCCATTCCTCTCTCCTGCATACAAAAGCTGAAGTTTTTTTTCTCTAGCATCCTCAATTTTGGTCATGATGTCTTCTCCAAACAATGGGAACCGTTTTATTTACATTAAAGATAAAGCTTTGGATAATCACAAAATTTGTAAAACATAAAATATACAAAGAATAAAAATACAAATAGCCACAATAAGCTACTGATAACTGATTATTTCTTGCTTGCTGTTTTTCTATATTTGAGATCTTATTTTATATAGAATTTTAAGGTGTATTCTTACAGCCAATTTAATACTGTACATGCTTTCCTACATTCATTAAAATTTTGATTGGCATTTTTTTATTCTTGAATAATATTCAATTGTCAAAACATTTAACATTTCTAATAAAGCATTTAGCTGAGTGCTACTTCTACACTATTGTGAAAAAAAATGATTCACTACTGTAAGACAACTAAAATATGAATCTCTTCTTTTCTTATATTTCCTTAAGTATGGTTGATTTTGCCTTTCCTTTTATGTTAAGAATATATTCTTATCTTCTCTACTTCTAGCTCATCACATTTCTTCATGATACCCCTTCTTAACAGGCTGCCAGGTCCACAGGAGCAGCTATATACATCGACACGCAATGCTACAGGGGAGGTGAATACAGCCTTGAGGTCTGCATTATTTATGTAGGTATTAAGATATAGTACTTTTGGAAGACAATATTGTGGCATGGTGAGTAAAGTCTTCTTCTATAATGCTTCGTGTTCCACAGGGACATGAGTTCGAGTCCCAGCTGCTCTACTTTTGATCCAGTTCCCTGATAATGCTCTAGGAAAAGCGGAGATGGTAGCCTAAGTGCTTGGGCCCCTACAACACACGTGGGAAGCCAGGAAGAAGCTCCTGAATCCTGGCTACGGCTTGGCTCAGCTTCAGTCGTGGCTGCCACCTGGAAAGTGAACCAGTGAATGGAGAGCTCTTTTTCTCTAACTCTGATTTTCAAACTAACAGATACATCTTAAAAGAAGAAATGGTAACTATTGTAAAAACTCTAAATTTAGCAAAGGGCATTTAAACAGTTGAACTGTTCATTTTGAGTTGATGGTTTACAGAATCTTCAGTTATCACCTACTGCTTGAGTTAAATTTTTAATAGTATAAAACTCAATCTGTTAAAATACAAGTAAAACAGTTGTACGTGGAATATGACTGCTCACTGAGAAAATTTTCTTAGAATCCAGATCAATGAAATGTCATTCAATGTGTTAAAGAACTAACTCCAATTCTCAAGCTCCTCAAATTTCAAAAACTTGCAAGGGAAGGAATTCTCCCAAACTTCTGTAAATGCTACATAACCTTAATCCTAAAATCAGTGAAATGGACAGGAAAGAAAGAGAACTATAGAACATTAAGCCAGATGGAAAAATCCTCAGAAAAATACTAGCAAATCAAATTCAAGAACACATGAGAAAGGTTATCTACCCAGAACAATTGGGAGCTATCCCAGGTATTCAGATGTGTCTCAATATACACATATCAATAAATGTGATACATCACCTCAATAAACTAAGGAACAAGACCATACAATTATCTCAAAAAGGTACAAAGAGAACATCTGAAAACCATGCAACATCGTTTCATAATAAAAACCTTAAGCAAACCAGGTATTGATGATCAACATTGCTGAACATGATGAAAGCAATATATGAAAAACCCACAAGCAGCCTCATTTGAATGAGGGAGCGTTGGACTCATTTTCACTAAGTACTGGAAGCAGACAAGGGCGTCCATTTCCACCGCTGCTCCCCAATGGAGTCCTGGGAGTTTTAGCTAGAGTGATTAGGCAAGATAAAGAAATCAAAAAGATGAAAATTGGAAAGGAGGAAGTCAAGCTAACCCAGTTTGCAGAAGTCATTATTATCCTCAAAGGGGGATAAAAAGACTCTACTAAGAGACCACTGGAACTCATGAAAGAGTTCTGTAAAGTGTCTGTGTGTAGAATCACTGCACAAACATCAATAGCCTCGTATACACAAGCAATTCCATGGCAGAGAAAGAACTTAAAACAGCTGCACCATTCATAACAGCTACGAATAAATGCATATATACATACACACATACTATGAAATCAACTTAGCCAAGAAGGGAGGGACCTTTACTGTGGATGTAACACAACATTAAAGAAGTAGAAGCTAACTACTCCCCCCGCCCAAGGGAAAAAAACCTATGTTCATGCATTGGCAGAATTAATATTATCAAAATGTCTGTACTTCTGAAGTAATTTATAGAGTCAATGTGCTCTGCAACATTCTTCTCAGATCGAGAAAAAAAAACATGCTAAAATTTGTAAGGAAGCACAAAAGACTTAACCACTAACATAATCAGCAAAACCAAAGCTGGAAGCATCACAATAGCAGACTTCAGGGTGGCTGTAACCAGAATAGCCTTGTACTGGCACAAAAACAGGGATGAAGAGTTAAAATTAACACTTCTTCTTGACTGGTAGATTTCTATTAACTGCACCTCAGAGTTAGTTGATACAGTTTGCAAAAGCAGAATTTCATGTCCTTGAAAACACTGTGGAAGAATGAGTCACTAAGGCACTCTACACATCAGACATAATTTTGGTGCAAAATATTATGCTATATAACTAGAATTTAAAGCTGACCAAAAGCAGAAATGTATATAACCTAAAAGAGGTCTTATTAATGAAAAGTGATCTGAAATACCTCAAATCATATTTTATAATTATGGTTCTTAATTCCACACTTCATATTAAGAATTCTGAAATGTCAAAGACTTTAGCACACAAAAGTAATCAAATGAATTTTAACATTTAACCCAAACGAAATTCTCTCTTGGAAAATTCGTAATTATCTTACTTTAACGTGTTGGAGTCTAAAATATTGATCACCAATTGTTTTAATGGGACTGAAACACACTAAATGGTTTGTGCTTGAGAATTAGTTTCATTAATAAATTATTCACAAAAATGGAAATAAAAACACATAGAATAAATAGGGAATTTTTATTTTAGAAAAGCGCAGCTCAAAACGTCTTTTGAGAAAGAGTGATTCTCTGGTCTAGCGGTGCGTCCCATACCGAAAGGCTGGACTCCAGCTTCCTGCAAACGCAGACTGACGGGGTGATGCGATCACAGCTGGTCTCACTTATTACTATCTCCTCTGCAGGAGACCAGAATGGAGTTCCAGGCGAGCAGCTTCACCTACAGGTAGCTGACACTGTGGGCACTTGGGAAATGAATCAGAGAAGGAGAGATTCGTTTCTCTCTCTGCTTTTCAAGTAAATTTAAAAAATAAGAATGATGAAAAGTATGTCGCTTTGTATGCAGGAACGGTGTTTTTAATACAGTGATGCTGCACCAATGTAGTAGGTTATGATTCAATCTTCAAAACCTCTGCAACAAAACAGGAAGCGCCACAATGATGGGTACCGCTGAGTTGCTTGCTTTCCTTTCTGTATCCATGTAT